GCCCGAGGTTGGTGTCTCCAGTCAGACAAGTCTATCCCGTCAGACAAGTCAGAGAAAACGAGAACTGCCTTCTACCCAGGCATCGCATGCCGAGCCGACCTATGGGGGTTACGAGTCCAGGGAGGACGACGATGATGGAAAGTCTGTTGCAGGGACACTCTATGAGGACGCAGAAGAGGGTGAATATTACATAAATGGCGCCGATGATGGATTGGATCGCCAGGCCTTGGACGAGATCTTGCGCGAACCCCTGGATGATGAGTTTGATGATTCGTTGGAGGCTTTCCCAGCGGCTCCACAGAGCTTGGAGGATACACCACACGAGGAGCGAGAGGATGCTTTCGACTATGAGCATTTCATCCTACATAGCGCTCTAGGAAACTACACGCAGGCTCGCTTGCGACGCGAGAGCAATGTTTCTACCTCGTCAGTGGAAACGACGCGGCCGATCGACCATCGTTCCACTCGCCATTCTCGCGCAAATAGCACTACCTCCATATCCACTGTGGCGACGTTTGCTACGGCTACCGAAGGGGATCGTGATGATCTTGAAAGTGTCCTCTATTGGGACCGGAAGTTCAACGATGGTAAGGATTCATGAAGAGCATCTCACAAGGCGTGGGTAACTAACTGCCACTAGAGCTACGCAACAACCACCCTTCGGATGTAGATGATTCCAATGGCGCCCAATATGGGGAAGGCGAAGGAACCCCCCGGGCCATTCGCAGACAGCCCAGTCGCCGGGATAAAGCTAGCCTCTATCCTGAGACCAACTTGCCTCCGCGACGGTCAGATTCTGCAACCACCGGATCTACCACGCCGACATCCTTGGTATCATCTCTTGTGTCCACCGTCCGCGCGGCTTCTAGCCCTCACCCGAGTGCCACTGCAAAGGGGAATTTGGGCTTGAACGATGATGACACTCATCTCTTAGAGCGGCTGTTCCAGAGTCTGGGCAATGTCTGCTTGGACCTGCAGAACATCACAACGTCCGAGAACCCGGACCCGAAGCAGGTGCGATTACTGAGACGGCGCCTAGATGCGGCTCGACGCGTATTAGATGGGGAGCTTGATACGTAGATTGTACATAGTCCTATGTTCCGCGGGGAAGTGATACTGCCGGGGCTATTCGTGCTTTTGGCGTTTGTTGATGAGGCAGTCTGGGCGAGAGCCTTTGCTATGATACCCTGACATTCGATTTAGCCATTGCATGCATACACTTATTGGATTCACTATCTTTCTATTATATTAAGAAGAAAAGTTGCCAGTTGGTGCTATAAGCACAAAGACCATAGGCGAGTCACCACAGCGAAACTTCCTTTCCGAATCGGGAAAGTGGAGGTCACGATAAGGGGCTTCCCGATAAGGCAGTCCCCGCCCCCGCGCACGTGTTTGGCGATGCGACGCGCCGCGCGAAAGTCCGCTGCATCCACGCAGTATCTATTCGGTACTATCATTCTTACCTTTTCCTTTCAGGGCATTCGCTGCATCGTGCTCTCGGACCTCTCAATTCTCAAACCCTCAGTGGGGCTTCATTTTCAACCTCGCAATAATCTTGGCCCGATTTGGTGCGTTCAATCTGCATGATGCCTCCTAAATATAGGCTTACCCTTGGCACAGAACGGGTGCTCAATTCGGCTCATCCACTAGCAAAATTCATACTTGTTCTCAGCAAAGTGGAGAGCATAGTCGGTGTATAGTCGCGACGCCATTTTTGGAAAACCAACTTAGCAAGCGCACGCCAACCGGGGATACTGGTCCATCTTCGCGGATAATAGATCCGAGAACCAGCCAGAAAATATAGTGACGATGTCACCCCCGTCGAGGCGCCTTCTGATCTTTCAGGAGGCGCGTAATCCGCAAAGTCCATCCGAGATTGTGTATCTACCTGTCAATAAACTGGGGCTACCGATTTGCGGTGATGGCCCGGAAATGCCTTCCATGTTGGAGCTGCCGTTGCGGATCCTGAAAGCGTTCACGGATATTTTCAATCAGCCGAAGTACAAGGGCTGGTGAGTGGCGGCTCTTTTGTATATGTTTTGTTTTCTATCTGAGGGTATCTAAGGAAAATGCTAATGTTCAGCTTGATGTAGGGCGTTGGTAGGTGCTGGGCCGTACCACGATACTTCTGTAGAAGGGAAGTATTATGCTGTGGTGCTAGAGCAGGTTCAGGAGGTCACGGTTGCCTAATGTGTGATGATGATGTATGATCGATGGTATGCTTTTTCATGTTGTATGATCATGATGATGTGATGCCTTTTGCCTGTCCGCTCCCTATTTAGTCGCTCACTCCTTCCCATTTTCATGTTCCTTTTACTCTCTTCTCATAGATGTGGGTGGACTTGTGTTGCTTTTTGATTCCCATTCTTTTTGTATTAACTGTGGCTGTACTAATGGTCAAATTTCTCTTTTACTCATTTTCATTTGAGATACGCTGAAGACTCTACCTTTACTCTCTACCTGCACTGCCGGGCCTTCTGTGGTTCCTAACGCTACAGGACGGAAACAGCTAATAAGGAAAAAGCCAAGAGTGTTCGTGAAGTGCCTCGCATACTACAGTAAGTCTGCTCATTAACCTTGCATTCAGCCTCACATGAATGATACGGTTGTGCCAAGATTCTAATCTCCTCTTAGCTCCTTCATTTTATCGTTACGTCGTACTCCTCCAGAATCCAATGGTCTGATATCCTTTCCAGCAATTCCAGCCACATAAATCCTGACACGCACTAGGCGCCCAAGCTATTATTTCTTTTCGAGAAAGACAATGACCGATATTGGCTGTCGGATGCTACGGGTCTCCCGATAGCAGATGGCTGTCCTCTGCTCGATCTGACAGATAAAGAATTAGTTTATGAGACAGAGCTGCTGATGATGGTCACTAGTGCCATGGAAGCGAAGTTGATGCCCACAAATTAGTAAGTTGTGATTCGCCTATGAAACAGTAGCGTGGAGTGAGACCCTTGCTGACCAGCCACAGCAACTACCTTGCTAGCTATAAGATTGCTGAAACCTACTACGTGTTGCTTGAGGAACGCCTTGATGGAGGACGATTTCCGGCTATATCACCCGCATCTAACTCAGCGACTCTCGAGGATGGCGATTCCGTAGGTTCGAACGATGAAACGCCCACAACACGTTATCCGCCATCCTACAGTCTCTCGGACGTTGAGGATAAAGATTGTGCCGGTAGTGAAATCGTGGCTCCCTCTCAGATCACCACCAACCCCAGTACTTCTAGCGATGGTGGCATCTTGACTCCCTCTCAAAGCACCGCCACCACCAGAGCTTTCAGCCCTGTCGACGTCAACAAGCGCGATGATCCCAAACGAGACGAATTTACCGTTAGTGACTCTAACGGCCGTTCAAAAGCCAAAATGCCAGCCCCCAGTACTGGGAGTTCGTCCAAAAATCCCGATGTTGCTACCGACTACGACTCCGATAGGAATAGCGAACCTATAAATAATGGCCACAGATGCCATCATCCAGTTTCGACAGACAAAGTACCACCACGCCAGGACCCTCATCAGGCTGCGACCGATCTGATCTCGCAAATTAGTCGTTCAGGCCTAAAATGGGGGGCGGTGGGCCGTTCCGGTTATATTGAGTTCGATATCAACAAGGCGCCTATCCCAAAACTTGTCCCGGTCAGCCCTGATACGGAGAATCCAAGCAGACCAGACGCACAATCCAAGAGCAATCGTTTTACCCCATCAACGACTCGCAAGCCTCTCCCTCAGCCTCTGGCAACTGATGGCCTGTCTATTCGGCGTGATAAGCCTTATTGGACCGAGTTTGGTTTGCATTGGCCCCCCAGTGATGGGCCACTCTACATGCCCCCTTTAGACCCCAATGACCCTTATAAAGTACCGGATACACCGCTAGAAGTAAACTGGACTCCTCTTTGATATTGCTGCGCTAGATTTAGAAAGGTGTTTTGCTAGGGCTCATTTTAATTCTGTGACACCTCTCATTGAATCTTACTCTCTCCGTTTTCTTTATTTTGATAGTGACGTCCTAGGACTTTGATAAGTTAGCTAGAAGGCGTTGTCTAACTTGTGTTAGCTTTGATATGCCTTGTTATTCCTATATTGACAATTGAATGACGAGTGGTCAGCCACAACGATATGTTATGTTATATTTATCTGCTACTGTAGAGCAATTTGGTTATATGGTATCAGTAGACGACGGCACCTCTACCCCAACGAACGAAGAAAGAAAGAAAAGAAGAAAGCAGTACTATAAACCAGGGAAGAATGAACATAACAAGAAGGGGCTAGACAACTCATCTTTTCCTTCTCATCGAATATACAAATGCGCGTAGACCTAGTAGTAGCATTAATAATATACTACCTACCACCCTCAACCCCCCAATCTAACGAATAGTAGCAGCCAAACGACATGATGAAGTACCTACTAGTAGTAGACTAGTAGTAATTGTAAGCAGCAAACATGATATCAACCTACTACTACACGGTCACTGCACAGATTATGTAGAAGAGGATTTCAGTGTGCTGTATACTATATTAAAAAAAAAAAAAAAAAAAAAGAGCCCCAGTGAAGTTGTAGGACATGAATAAGCAGAATAGAGTTCTACTAACTAACTAGTTAGGTACTGGTTGATATATAGTAATCATTACTAGTAACCTGCTTGCCATGCTATACGAATTCGTCCCAACTCGGAGGGTACTACTAGGTACTAGGTACTACTACTCACAGTAATTGGGAGATTACTATGTATGTAGAATGTTCATACTTTCTTGAGAGAAAGATATGGGTGAATGTATGAATGAATTGACTACAGGGTTATATAATTCTAGAATTTATGGAGTAGGTTTGGAATAGTAGTAGTAGTAAAGATAATTAGCTGGCTACGTTGTTACTTGGAACCTATGTGGACATATATTTCTCGGATTGAACCAATTTGCAGATATCTAAGAGGGGAGGTGATAGGAGATAATGGTATATGCCTCAGGCGTGAAATCAAACACAGGTATGGATTTCGTTCGGTTACATTACTACAGGGGGTTTAGATTTTGGAAAAGAAAGAAACACGCACACACATAATCGCTGCATTCATTCTCCGTCCGTCCGTCCGTCCTTCCTGTCGTTCCTTTTTGCTTCCCTCGCATGCCCATGCCCATGTCCACGCCTACACTCACGCCCATCCATCTACACCATATACTAGAGCCAACAGGTCAATCATAGATTGTGATAGTGCAGAGGCAAAGAAAAGAGAAGCCTGCTTAATTCGAGGTTTGTTGTTGTTGTTAATGTTGTTGTTGTTGTCATCAAAGTCGTTTACTTTGTTTTTTTGTGCTTTCTTTCTGTTTCGTCAACCAGTGCTAGAAGAGCCTAGAAGACGCAGCAAGGCAGGATTAGGTGTAGACGTTCGTTGGGGGGAGGAGCTTGGCTCCGTAGCGGAGGTCGAGCGAGCGGGAGTCAGTAGGGTCAAAAACGGTGGCTTGACGTTGTTCAAGGAAGAGAGCTGTTTGTGATTAGCAGTGATTCAACTGAGGTTCGAGGCCTAATAGGGTACGTACGAGTCACTTTGATCATGTCAAACCAGCGAGCTGCATTCTCGTCACTACCATCCACGGCTTTTAGGATGCCGGTATCTGGTCGAGGAGTAGCCTTGGGCGGAAGGCTACGCATCTTCAACAGCATGTGCAGGATGTCGGAGAAGCGATCGCCTTGATTGGCGTAGTATGGTGGGCGCTTGTCCAAAGGCCACTGCGAAACGAGTTAGTATGCAGACAGACCGCTTTGAAGTATGGCGGTGAGCTTACCCGCTGAGCAAAGTTCTCGTCGTCCCAGGACCGGAATAGCCAGCACGTCCGCTCCACGCAGTTCAACAAAATGAGCGCAACCAGGAAGGTCTCGAACCAGCCACTTTGCTGGCGCTGAAGCAGTCGCCGCTCGAGATCATTCATAACCGACTTGCTCAGCTGCGACGCGCGTTTCTCGGTTGCGGCCCGCAGCTGGCTGCATAGGAGCTCGTACGACTCGCTGTTGGTGACACTGTCAATGGGCGTGCGGCCGTCGTCTGATGGCTGTGCAAGAGAGTGCATCGATGTGGGAGGAAGAGTTGGGTTGCAGAATGTCTTCCACTGCAATTCCCCGTCGGCCAGAATGTGAGTGGCAATCCAGAGTTCCAGCACCCGTTCGAGCAACACGTCCTGAACAAGTCAACCAACACTGCTGGCTTTCCGGTGATTCAAGTAAGGAACATACCTTTTTCTGCTGGCTTAGCTCCGCAGCAAGCAACAAAGTTGGTCTCATGAAGTCTGAAGCCTCCCGCTCGTAGAAGAACGGCGCAGTCTTCTTGATGTACATCTCGATCTTTCCGGGAAGATCATCTGCATCACTGTCCAGCAGATACAGCTCGTGTAGAGGGCCCTGGAATTGTGTTTCATCTCCGAGAGCCTGGAGCTGAGGGTCAAGCGTCGATGCGGGTGCCTTGTGGCCCTGGAGTCCGCTAAAGGTAACGTAGACCATGCTCTCCTCAAAATGGGTAACCTCAATACGTCCAGCGTAGTGTTCGAATTTGATTTGATTGCGGATACCGCTCACATCGTGGTAGGCAAGGGTAGCGTGCAAATCTGCGGTGGTTAGTGCGTGTGACAACCACCACCAAGGCCAAGTTACATACTTGCATTGTACAGCTCGAATTCTTCGGCAATGCGCGTGCGAATGCACGGGTGCTTCCACAAGCGGGCGCTCTCGACGCTGGCGCAGGTGGTACACGGGCTGTCACCGGAGCACTGGAGGCAGGACTTGTTAGAAGGCATAATCAAGACTAGAGGGCATCTAACTTACAGGCTTCTTCAGCATGCGACAACGAATACATGCGCCCCGCTTGCGAACTTCCTGAACCTCTCGGCGTCGGGCGGCGGAGAAGCGACCGCGCACTTTCGGTTTAGTAGGCTTGGTAGAGTTGCCAAATTCGTTCACGAAGCCCTTGGCCTGAGAGTTGGGGTTCATAGCAATAGGACGGGGGAAGGAAGCAGCGCGCTGTGTGGCTGCAGTGAGAGTGGGATCGTGTTCGTGGAGGCTGTCGAAGAGAAGCTGCTCCTGGGTGGACAGCTGCTGGTTCCACGAGGGACTCATCTTAGGCATACCGTCGGTAAGACCTGCGTCGTGATCCATTGGGAGACCGTGGGGCACCATCTCACTAGCGGAAGCAGCAATCATGGACAGTTGCGACTGGCGCGCATTGGAGGTGGGGTCCGGAGTCAACGAAACGTCTGGCAACGGGGGGGATGCGGCTGCGGCTTGCGGCTGATCTTGAGAGGAACTAGGCAGGGAAGGTACAGAAGAGGCGTTGGATCCTTGAGGAGTGCCTTGAGAGATTATAAACATTAGCGCGCCGCAGATAGACAAAGGAAGCGGGATGAGTGAATGGAGCTTGAGTGAAGGTAGGGTCACAACACAGACTTACCTGGAGCGTTGTTCGCATCTTCTTCAACCTGGTCCGGCTGTGTAGGATGACCTTGAAAGCCTTCAGCCTCGAGAGCCGGGTCGACGACCACGGTCTTTCCCCCGACTGTCACCGACTGAGTGTATGCAGGGCCCCGTTTCGTCTGGTCGGACGCACCAACCTGGCGCGATGCCTCGGCCAAAACATTAAGGCCATCGAAATTCTGGCGTGTAGTGAAGGGCAGATCCACCGATTTGCCCTTACTCGTCACATCCTTGTTCTGGTCGCCATCGGCGAGATCGGGAAGTTCGTGGAGTCGCAACAAGACGCGTTGCCGATCGCGCAACGGGATGGCTTGACACTTCTTCACGAGATGGTTGGTCAAGCTGTCGATGCGACCCTTGGGAAATTTCTCTCCGCAGGCCTTGCACGTGTGCTGGTAGCGATTACTGGCGTCCTCGAGTTTCTGGCCTCGAATAAAGAACTCGAGGATGAGTTGGTTCGGTTTGCGACCCATTGAGAGGGAAAGTGTGTGGCCGGGCGGGCACTCGGCAAGGAGGGACCGGGATTAACACAATAAAATGGGGGGGGATGACTCGAGCAAGGAACTGCGCGTTAAAGAGCACTGTAAAGATATTGTAAGCGACAGATCTACCGGGTCAGAAAGGCACAGCGCGCACGCTGAAGCCGTGAGACAGTGACGCACACAGGGTCTCGAGAAGACGAGGGGTGAGAGAGAAACGGATGGCAAAATAGCAGCTTGGCCACAACACCGACCGGCAGAACCCACCACGCCGTTCGGAAGGTGCCGCACCAGGTTTGAAAAGATGGGAGTGGATGGGCTAAGGGTAACTGAGGGATCCAGGGGAGGAATAGTGCCAGAAATGCAGGCAATGATCGAGAGTAGAATGAGGCAGCGCAGCAGAGGGAGTGGGATGAAGGGGAAATCTGGAGCAAGCAGCGGCAAAACCACGACTTTTCTACGGGCGGTCTGTCACTGGCCGCCTGCTCCGTCACGGGTTTCGGTTGGGATGCGCCTCACCGCATGAAAGGCGGTGATGAGATCGGTGACTGGTGTTAGATACATTCCTTCTTTTTTGGACTAAATTACTACGTAAATGCATTGAACAATTATGTCTAGAAAGGCCAACCGGACATGTCAGCTCCGTTTCTGGCGCGGCCATAATCTATGTATGGTATATACAGCATGATGATTATGTGCACACCTTCAGCGGTGTGGCAGGGCTCTCAGCCTATAAAGTGGACATGATCAGCCAGGGCTTGCATCGGCTCTTGTGATACTCGACTTTGGTTTTTTTTACCTTTGATACCTGTCGAAAGAACTTTAGCTGGAAAACCTGTGGCCCCACTGTGAAACACTCCCTGACCGCTCTCTCTTTCATCATGTCTTGGTTATCATATCTCCATCTATCTTAACAACCATAAATAGTCATTTTTCCCCTTGTATTTATCTCAACCATAGTATCCGCCAGACTTCAACTTTTCTTTAGTAGTCATCGCAGAAGATGTGAACTGGCTAGATTTCTTAAATTCTCCCTATATGATGTTCCTCACATATTCCATTCCATCCCATTCCTACCTTACTAGCTCTATTGCCGAGTTAGGCATACTTCCATAGTTGCATGCAGCAGCCTGCAGCCTCTCCTACTACCTGCCACTATCACCCATGAGCGATTTCTTCCGATAACATCTCCGCTGCCGGAGAAGATGACAAAATGATTATACTTGTGGATACAATCGAATTCTCTTTTGCTCTGCATCATCACTTTTCCTCTCATCAGGTAGCAGATGTCTATTAGGCAAGGAAAAAATTCTAGCAACGACCATAAAATGGAGAAAACCCGCAGTCAAGAAAGAAGAAAAAAATCCCTCAATCATTCCTACTCATCTCCTGCCGAGATTATTGAGAGCATCAATTACCGAAACCCTATTCCCCAGCATCAGATCACTTACTCTACAGACCACCAGCTACGTGCTCACATAAGGCTAACAAAACTGCCTACCCCTCGATCATTTATATCTCTTCTCATAATCCGTGAAAACTGATCTCCATATCCTGACGACCAGCTAGCATGACTTCCTAACACTCCTCTTTCCCCGCAGATATGGGAATTTGGCCCTGGAAGCCTTCCTGCAGGATGGCTGGAGCTGGATGGCTTCGCTACAGCTCTATCCGGAAGTTTTAAGAGAAGAGTATGATTGCAATATTTGTTGGCCTCCTATTGCTCGAGCGGCGAGGCAAATGACCTAGTTCTCAAAGAATTTCGGGAGCTGTTCTTCACACTCAGCGCATGGGAGGAACCTAATGGCAACATAACTACTGCTTGATATCAGCATCCCACTCTCTCAGTGACCCCACACCTTGGTTCAGGTATCTGACTTTTTTTCTTTTGGGCCTGATATCCCCTTCGACAAGTGTGCCGAGATATATGCTAAGAAACCAGTCAATGCTGGCCTATCTTCAATCAAGACCTCCCCAGCACGGTTGGATTGCTGGCTGTTAGATTGCATAGTAGGTATATATAAGGACAGGAATATGTGGCACTAGTAGATCGAAAACCGTCCTTTATCAATCTCGTCAAATTGAAGATGCTCAAATTAGATATAATAATGACAGCCTTTATAGCAATAAGCTTTATTCACTCTATTCTGCATAATTATCTATCCAGGAAGCATGAATCCTCCAGGCCAATGGCTACTTACTTCATCCGGACCCTACGCCCATTCTTCCACCATCTTAGGCAACTGGAAAAGGCTCGTTCGATATAGTAGGATATAATATTGCTTAGATGGTTTCTGTGCTACCCTTTGGCGCAACCGACGTTCGATCAAGCTTCCAAGAGTCGTTGCACTCCCAAGAGATAGTGATAGTGATAGTGATCGTGACCGCCTTTTCACCGCACTCCCCCGCTCTCTTTCCTCCCGGACAATAAGCAACAAGTTTCCCTCAGAAGAAGAACAATACAACCAGTAGATAATTACGCATGTGCCACACACACATACCCAAGTAAATGGACTGAATTCCCAATTCATCTACCAATTTGACACCCCCACACTCCCCTTCCTTTCCCCCCTCAAACCTTCATCATCTCATCTCATCTCACCTTCTCAACGCGGGAATTTTCATTTCAGGCCCTCCTCGCGGCAGCCGCCCTGCCCTGCTGCCTACACGCATCTGACGCACACCGAGAAGTCGGTCTGGCGAAAAAGCCCCCCAACCAAAAAGCAACCTGCAAAATAGCAGTACCCTTCCCGACAACTCCGAGAAATATTATCTGTCACCCGTCAAGTGGCAGCCACAGCCACCCACCCACTCACCCACGCATCAATCAGCAAATGCGATGCTCCGGAGGGCGCCAAGGCACACCCAAAATATCAAAGATGCGACGCTCATCGTGGCCCTCGAGTAATCGGCCCTCATTGATTTTGGCGCGATTAGGACCGCGTAGCACATCCGTGTAGAGACCTCGTTGATTGAGCCGCATGCCCTTCTTGCTTGCTAGTAGTCTCATGCTGCGATTGAAGATGTCGTTGCCGGTGAAATAGATCAGTGCGGCTCCGATCTCTGCGTCGGGGACGAATAGGAGGTCGATGCGTCGCCAGGGGCCGGGACTTGTATTATAATATTCCCTTCTGTTGTTGTTCTTGAGTGGTCGTGGTGGTAAGGCACATGCACCGTGCCATTTGGACCCGTCTCGGGATGATGAGCTGGCCAGACTGGCCTTTATGAAACCTTGCTTACGCAGCGTCGGCATTACGGTATCCACCATCACGTTTCTGATGTAGTCGGTCTCGGCGTCGGGCTTGGTGATTAGTAGGTCGATGTCGCCGCAGTCTGGGGCACCGCGGCGATAGGAGCCCGCGATGATGACTTGCATGTCTGGGTCGGCTGATTGGACTGCTTTGCGGACGATTTCGCCATGTTCTTCGACTTCGGATCGAGGGATGCGTTGGGCGAAGTCGCGGTAGTGGTCTATGCCGATGCGCTGGTTTTCGGTCAATTTGATTTTGACTCTCAGGTCTTCGAGGGTTTTGTAGCCTTCGGCTAGCCATATGGATGCTTGGGTGATGCCGACGCCGTAGATTCCGGTGAAGAGTTTGAGGATATTGTCTTCGCGGCTGTTGGTGGCATTTTCGAGCTGGCGGAGGCGGTTGGTGGAGACGATTTCTTCGATTTTGTCGGCGAGGCGCTGTCCGATTCCTGGGATGGCTAGGGCTTCTAATTTGGTGCTGATTTTACGCGGTTGTCGGCGGAGAGCGCTGATGGCTTTGCGGTAGGCGAGGACGCGCCACTGGTCGTTTGTTCGCTTGTAGAATTCTAGCATTTGCTGGAGCATGGCTATGGTGTTGCTGTTGGGGTTCTCCGAGTTCGATTGTGCGTCGTGCTTCTGCATGCAAACGAAGTTCTGTTGCCAGTCATCTTTTTCGATAGTCTTTCGCTTCTTCTTCGCTGGCCCGGCGTCTGATGAGTCGGAGGTTTCGTCATCGGTTGTCTCGGCTGCTGCTGCCTCGTCGGCTGAATCTATCCTTATGGGCTAAGTCATTCGTCAGTCTAAGGCCTTGAGATGTACGTAGTGGGAGAGACTTACCAGGTCTTTTATTGCCTGGACTTCCTCGATCACATCATCCAAAGCATCGCGACCCTGGTTCAATTTATAGGTGATCTGTTTATCTTCCAGGTGTTCGTCGACCTCCGGTTCGGACAGCTCAGTGTCAGCATCGTCATCGGTGCTCTGTGTATCAATGTAGCCGCGTTTCGCTTTCGCTGGCTTTATCGGCAACGACCCGTTTGACGAAGGCTCACGCGCAGGCGAGGATTCTTTAGCCTTCCCAGGAACAGGTGCGCCACGGACCCGAAAGCGAGTCTGAGTCGCGTCCAACATTTGGCGGGCCCCAATACATAGGAGAGGATAGTTACTGTCCACGAGAGCAACGTTTTCCTTCAAAGACATTAGTATCAGACTAGACAATGCATGAGTTCCTAAACCTACCGGGATGGGCTTATTCTTAAAATGTTTCATGACATTCTCGTACGTGTACCACCTTTCTACAACGACATGAGTGATGGTGTCATTCCATTCCCTTGCTCGCGAGGCACCGTATTCACGCGCACGCTGCATTTGGAGCTTTCTAAGTGTTGTTCTGTCGTCGTTGGGGAGGTAGTCTACTCCTTCGAATTAGTGTCACTGAACGCTTAGAGGTACACATCCGAGGTTATAGTACTGACAGAAGACGAGACCCTTGAGTATCTGCCGGTGTTTGGGAATAGCAAAGGCCCTAAACGCACGCCCCTTTCTTTTAGACCTGCTACCACCTTTAGTCCTCCCTTTCCGCGGCATCTCGTCTGTAGAGGATGATCTGGTCACAGCTGGTGTTGGTGTTTGCTCAGACGTAGTAACAACTTCCTTTTCAGTGCTGACCTCAGATACACTTGGTGAAGCAAGTAAAGGCTCCGTAGAAGCTCTCACCAACGGCGGCGCCGCGGGAGCCTTTATATCTGAGGCCGGAGTGAATGAATTAGACGGAAGGCATTCACAGCGCTCCCTTGAGAGATGCACCAGACCGCTGAAATCCTCATTTTCACCATCACTGGAATATTCCAGCCGCTCTAATTCCCTGAAAAAGGCCTCCTTGTCCCTTACCATCGTCGCCATGGTATAGTGAAGTGGAAGGTCCCGAGACTCAAAATCTGGCGAGCCATGAGTTCTTGCGTCACTGCTGCCTAGCAGGTAACAATATCATCTGACGGAAGCAGCCATGAATACAGAGTTCATGCAGTCAGACAATCCATCCATCAACCCCAGCGTCAGATTATTCAAATCAATCCATTTCAGAGTGACACGAATTCCAACAGTGACGCGTGATACTCAGTCACGAAAATGTCGCCAAGTCACGGGACCGCCAATTAAACTCGGCCTGTTCGGCGAGTGGATCTCCAGCAACAATTATCAGTGATAGTCCAGTGAAGAGAGTCTGCCGAACATTCAACCAACCAACCAACCCACCCACCTCAATTACTTCCCCACAGATACCTCACCTCCAACAATGTGGAAGCGCACAGGGCTTCTAGCCTCATTAACTGAGCCGACGCTCTTCCAGAGCACTCGTTGCCTCAGCTGCCAATTGCGCAATGCGGCCGCTCTCCGGCCCCGAACCGCTGCGCTGCGTTACTACGCCAGCAAACCCGACACCAGCAGCAGTGAAACCAAGCCGACGACACCCTCCCCTATCTCATCTCTCGCGAACAAGACCAACAGAGTAGCTCAATTCCAAGCGAACTACTCAGCGACAGCATCCAAAGTCCCCTCCCCGACTAGCGAGCCCGGCGATGACGACTTCATACCTCCGACGTTGGACCGACCTATTGGATCGGTGATCCCACCACAAGAAGGGCAGAACACGGGTGTCGATGACCGGTCTATACGACAGAGGAGAGATGATTTTGTGAATTACGAGAGACATCTTGAGCGGCGGAAAGAACTGTACGTCTCCATCCCATTTCCCGAGCCTATACTATTTTATATGCAAGCTCTAATACTAAATCTCGATAATAATCTACAGAACTCGACAAGTCGCAAAGCCCTACTTCCGCGAATGGTCGAACATGCGCTACCACGAAGGTAAAACCTTCATGTCGAACCCCCGACTCTTCAAGCGCGACAAAGCCCTCTACTTCCCCAACATGCACGGCATCACTCTCGCCTCGCCAAAGGAACCTCAGAACACGACCACTCTTTTCCGCGGAAAGATTACGATCGTGAACCTCTTCTCTAGCGTGTGGGCCGAGTCGCAGGTCGTTACTTTCACGGGCAAGGAGCAGAACCCTGGTCTTTGGGAAGCGATTTCCTCGGAGGGAGATGGGATGGTGCAGAAGGTTGATATCAACCTGGAGGAGAATGCGTTGAAGGCCGGGTTGGTGAAGATGTTCATGTGGCGTATGCGGGCCAAGTTGCCGGAGGAGCAGCATGACCGGTATTTCCTGGTGCGGAAGGGGTTAGATGATGGGTTGAAGGAGAGTATTGGGATGTTGAACTCGAAGGTTGGGTATGTGTATCTGTTGGATGAGAATTGTCGCATTCGGTGGGCGGGCAGTGGGCCTGCTGAGAAGGTGGAGTTGGAGGCGCTGAATAATGGAGTGCGCAAGTTGGTGCAGGAGAAGAAGGTCAGTTTGCAGTCGGAGATGCCGGCGCAGGAGTGGGAGGGTGCGAAGGGTCTGGGTGAGGCTGTGAAGAAGCCTCGGGTTGTTATGCCCTAGATGGGTTTGGTGTGCCATGGATGGCTGGACAGGTACGGGATCACCCAGTTCATACTGGATTCTGGACTCTGTGTATGTACATACCAGGGTGTTTGCGTGAGTGTTGAGTGGGAGCGTGGAAATATGCTCCAGACAGCACTGACCCGACACCAGGAAACAAATCTCCCCCCCCACCATTAATCTCTGTATAGTATAGACGCAAAAACAGCGCATAGACAAAGCCAAGAATAGAAAAAGAGACAAATCTCACTCCTCAAGACGCCCATCCCAAACCCACAAACTAGACAACGCAACAGAATCACAACATGCTTCAGACAAAGTAACAGAATCAAGCAATCACCTCAACCAAAGCAACATCAGAAAGCAAAACCCAATAAAAGCCCCCAAAATCAACGCATCCCGTCTCCTCTTCGAGCCAATCTTCCCAATCAACGCATTCATCCCGGGCACCGAGTTCGCCGCGCCCACAATGCGTCGATTAATACTGGCCAGCGTCTCCCGCTGGAGACCAAAGTTCTCGTTAATAGCATACGCCTGACTCAAGACCCCATCAATCATATTATGGCTTTCGTCAATCCGACCCCGCTCCTCAAGCATGTAATCTGCTTCTGCCTGACCTGGGTTCGAGCTGCGGTAGGCATCGATATCGGAGCGGACGTTGGAGAGCAGGTTAGCGCGGTCGCGGGACTCGGAGATGGCGGATTTCAGCCGCTGGAGTTCGCGACGATGGTCGTGGAGGACTTCGCGGTGACGGGAGAGGTTGTTTTGTTTGAGGGCGGAGGAGGTGAGGGTTGCTTCGGAGTCGAGGAGGCGGGCGAGTTGGGAGATTAGGGAGTCGCGCTGGTGAGTGATTGATGGTTAGTTCATGTGATGTTATGGAGTAGTGAGATGGTGATGGTGATGAAAGAGAGTGAATGCGTACTCGTTCTAGGAGGTCTTTGAGCTGCGATTCAATCCGTTGCTCTTCCTCCGAGGGTGTGGGAGGGAGCTTTGTTAATGAGGCGTATTGCGAGTATGTGTGGAAAAGGTTCTCGGTCTATGATGTATGTATATGTTAGGATAGGACACATCTTATGTGACAGGAAGCGATGATCGTACCTGAGTCTCGAGAGATCGGGCTTGCTGCCGGAGCTGAGCCCAGCCGGTACCGGTTGAAGTGGCCATGGTGATGATGGATGATTACGACAATATGAGGGTGTATATAGGTAGGTAGGTAGATAGGTAGGTTGCGAGTGATGTGTGTGTGTAGGCAGTAGAATGAGACTGAAAGTTATTCAACGACACCGATAACGACGATAAGACACTGTCAAGTCGGGAATATAGAATGAAGAGAGTAAATCAAGCTTCCGAATGAACCCCGTCATAACCAACGCAACATGATCCGACCGGCGGCACAGCAACAGCGACAACGACAACGACAGCAGCAGCGACAGCCAGCCTTAGTCTAACCCACTATCGCACGGCCAAGTCAGGGCGGCCGGGGCGGCGGACGGAGGCGGCGTCATCCCGGGGGGCGCGGCAGTACTTACTACTACTTACTACTACTAAACCAAAACCCCAACTGGGCCACGGCAACCACCAGCCACAATCACGTGCCCGCTTAAGCCGCCGCACACCCAGAAAAAATCAAACCCTAGTCCCACAACGAACATCCCAAATTGACCCGGTCCATCTTCAATCCTCACGTCGACAACCCGTACGATACGACACGAAGCCGCCCACCATGGTATGTTGAATTGCGCCGCATGCTGCTATATCGCAGTTTTTGATTTCTGCGTGAAATGCTGACCGGTGTTTTTCTTATTTGAAGTCGTCCAAGGTCAAGGCTGGTCAGCTCTGGGGAAAGAGCAAGGATGACCTCACCAAGCAGCTGGAGGAATTGAAGACCGAGCTGAGCCAGCTCCGTGTCCAGAAGATCGCTGGCGGTGCCTCCTCGAAGACCCACAGAATGTGCGTTTGAATCAATTTTCTCCTGCGAACCCCTCATGTGTGTGTGTGTGTGTGTGCTTTGTGTGTGTGTATGGTGGGAAGGATATGAGATTTGCACCTGTCGGATTGTGGATTACGGCCGGAGGAAGGGAAACGACAAGAATATTCGACAATTCGAAAGACCAGAAAACGAATACCAGTTAAGGGGAATTTCGACAACCCATGAAACCGACATACCAGCAAGGAACGAGGGGCACACGACTACGAACAACAAGAACCATCTTCAAGCCGAGAAGAAACTTTCCGACAGGGCGCAAAATCCAACATATCTACTACCACCACCTACATGAAGAAAATGGGCACACATGCGCACAAAGATCAGGAAAGAAGAAGAACAAGAAGACCAGGGATGCTGATATACCATCTTTCTTAAACAGCCACGACGTTCGCAAGTCGATCGCTCGCGTTCTGACCGTCATCAACGCCAACCAGCGCGCTCAGCTCCGCTTGTTCTACAAGAGCAAGAAGTACACTCCTCTTGACCTCCGCCCCAAGCTCACCCGTGCTCTCCGCCGCCGTCTCACCAAGCACGAGGCTACCCTGAAGACCGAGCGCAAGCGCAAGCAGGAGATCCACTTCCCCCAGCGGAAGTACGCTGTTAAGGTACGACCTACCCAACATACCTGAACTCGTTCAGAACATGTCACGGTGGGATGTAAAAAGGCCATTGGCTAACTGGTATCTAAACAGGCTTAAATGTTAAAGACGGGGTCGTCTCTGGATCTGGATGGAGTTAACGGGAACGTCGTTTAATGATGACGGGTTGACCTAACCTTGCCGTGAGGGGGGTCGGATTCATCAAAACGGTTTCTTTTGAAAAAGAAATCGATTATGTATCTTAGAAAAAAAGAAAAGATGCAGATCGATGTTTTTAAATGAAGGCCTTGCTTGACATGACATGAGATAAAAGATTTATGTTATTGGTATTGTGGTGGATGCGGAGTAGATGATAATTGTCTTGTCTCCGCGTGTAGTCATTTTTCACTATAGTGTATTAGTCTACCTTATGACTGCCCCTATACAACGAGTAATATTGGATACGGGCTCGAGGTTCGAAGTGCAGACAGTACTACGTATTGGTGGGGTGTCAACTATCGGCCTATGTACAGATCCAGTCAACGGTGGAGGCAATTGACATCGTTATACTTGTCCATTCGTGTTTGCATCTATATACGCTATTATACCACACGCCTTAATCATTCTATTTTAACCTTTTGGTATCAACATAACTACCCAAAAAGCAACTGCTAACGACCGCCAGGGTCGAAGCCCTTTCTACTTCCCCACTTCGTTCAGACCTGACTCGAGAGTCCACATTCCTCCACAAATGCACGATCGTAAATGGCCCAACTTGAATATCATGCGGAACGCAAGGACAGAGCGTGGCGGATAAGTCCCCTCAGATACATCGCAGCAGCGGACGCATCGCCGTCGAAGGACTCCCTGACTGTTCTGTTTCCCAAGCTGGGGTCCATTCGAGCCTTGTGCGATCGTCATCCGGATAGGCGTTTTCTTGATGACATCCACTTCTCGTGTGCGCCGATATAACTCCGAGCGTCGGTCGGAACCGAACCCGAGCCACGAGTAATCGTGCATGTAGATGGCCATGCGGTCGACGTCGGACTTGAGTCCCGGTACCGTTTGTCGAAGGATTGTTGAGACAGCCGCAACGAGGACAGGAGGAATGCGGGCGTTGACTAGTAATTCCTTCTCTGGCCCCGGGCGTTCAGTGTCACCAAAACCGGCACCATGGTAGGCGTGTCGTACGGCCGAATCGACCGCCGAAAGGAACTTTTCGTATACATCGATTCGTGCAGGCGTGGCATCTAATGCTTGGCAGATCTCTGCGTACTGTAGACGAGAGTCGCCGGCTAGAGATGCGTTCGTATAGCCCGCGTGAATGCCACGCAGACCACGGCAGATAAAGCGCAAGAAAGCACGGGACATGCTTGAGAGGAGAATGATGAGAGCTAGTGAGTTTGTGGTTTTCACTGCGGGGCGTTAGTACAGTTGACAGTTTCCGGAGTATGGATTTGACCAACATTTTTGGCTGAAGGCTTCCTGATCGGCCGAAACACTTTCGAATTCATCGGCGAGGTCGAAAAGCTCGTTTAGTATATAGAGAGAAAAGTCAAGTGCCCATCTGGTGTTTCCGAGCATCATACGCAAGACGTCTATATGAGACATGCTGTTAGCAGCTTCCGTGAAGGTCGATGTGAACTGGCTTACCAGGATCATGTGGCTCTGCCTGAATCCCTTTGTTGTACTGAAAGAAAAATGGGTATAAAATGGCGGCGTGGCGAAGCTGAAGAATCGACCAAGAGACAGAAGAGGCAAAACTTCGTGGTTTGTACTTATTGGCAAATCCCAGAGCAGCTTGTATACTGAGGCACTTGGGAATATAGGGGTGGTTCATCAGCTTTTCTTGCTCGACCGTGAAATTGCAGTTGATGGGCAGTGCGCGGTAAACTTCGTTGATGAACGTGATTTGGGCATCTGGTAGCAAGCGTTAGAATTGATGATCGACGGGGATGAAAGTTGGTACGAACCCTGAGAGAGTTGCTGTATTAAAATTAAGAGGATATCGTCTGTGTTGACTTCACTTCCACATCCGCGGCAGAAGGCTAATGTGAGTGATGCAATGGCTGCAGAAAATTTGTCTGCCAAGTTCGAAACCTTATTAGCAGACAGTTGAGCTGGTAGAAAGGAATACGCACTTTCATCGTAAAGACCGTTTTCGGCTCCGTAAGAATGCTCCATAACCCTGAGGTGCGTCTGGCCGTCGTTGTCTAGCATGACTGCAGCGCATGCGCTCGGTGAGAAAGAGACGTGTTGACCTTGACCTATCAGAACACGGTTAGTAACATTCCAGGTCGACAATACGAGGCACTACAACCTGAGGCGTCTGGGGCATAGTGAAACCCTGCTTGAGCTAGGCCCGTCACCGTATTCGCATCATCAACACCATTGAACAATGCCATGGTTTTCGGGTCGTAGGAAGACACGGAGCTATCATCGTAAGTGATAGCAACCACACTACCGTACTCGATTTGGTCCACCGATATGACATAGCGGTCAGAGTAGATGTCTTCCAAGCGACGCAGCACAGGTCTAGGCTGTTCAAGGAGTCAGCGCGGTCTGTATGAAGTACTGATATGTTTCACGTACCTTCATCTGAGTACTGTTTCGTTTTGTGGCCATTTCATCAAACTTGGGGTGAAGGGTGAAAGCAGCAGTATCCAATTGCCATCGTACAATTACACTTGCTGGTCCTTGCGGGCCAGGATGATCTGGAGTAGCTTGGGGTGGGGTTGAGAAAACCGCAACAATCCATGGGTTTGCTGTAGTCCCAGCAGCGTTATCGGAGGCCGGGAGGATTATATCCAGGCGACTGAGGCTATAAAGAGGATTTGAGACCGACTGCTGCATCATGTCAGGTTCTTCTCCGTCATTCCGAGGCATCCCAGGCACTGTGCATGACGTTTCCACCTTGGAGTGCGTGAAACGGAAGCTAGGAACTGGGAATTGGGGTGGCGTCTGCTTTGGCTGTTGTGCAGGGTCCCATTGAGGCGGGTTCCAGTTGACCTGCACCCGATAGAAGCGAATTTTTTGGCATATCGAGTAAGTAGCGATAAGAATCCCGTTCTGAGTTGCTACTAGAGCAGCATGTGACAGCAACCGATCTGAGTAACTCGTGCTCTTCAGATCCACAGATATGTCATCCCATCTACCGTCCGGATTCTGGTACAAGAGCTTCATTGATCCAGAACGTGTGATGCATAGCAGTGCCGCTTTATTTGCAGGGTGAAACGGACCTATCGGGCGGCGACGGAACGGCGAGTAAGCCCAGCGACCCTGTACTTTGGCTGCTTGATAAAATGCATGCACCTAAGAAGTTTAGCATCGAGAGACAGATGTGGTTCGCAGATCGACATACAGATCGTTGGGTGTTCAGCCACATCATGCCAACAATTTGAGACCCATCGTCGGGAGAAAAAGCCGGCTGTCGAAGGCCGTTAACACTGTTGAGGGCGAAAGGGATGTGATAGACTGAGACACGTCCAGTCACATCGACCACGGCCAGATCGGAGCCAGCTTCGTTCCAACTCAGGTGAGTGAGAGCATGCCCGCCGTGCGCTTCGGTGATTGGCATCAAAGGGGTCTCATCGCTGAGCACCCACTTTCCATCCGACGGTCGACATTGCAGATGGCGGACTTTCACCCTCAAGGAGTCTTGTGAGATGTAAGCAATACATCCCAGTTTGGACCATGCAATCTTCCTTTAATCAAAATTAGCCTACAGATCCAAGCTAAATTTCGCGACACCTCAGAAGACAGTAACTTACTGGCAACAGCCAAGAAGTCGCATCTCATCCAGACGCTGGGCAAGGCCTCTGGCAGAAGAAGCCGATGGTGGCAGGCCCAGCTCGAGGGAGGTGGGCTCGCCAAATAGATCGTCAACATTGATACTATCGTCCATCATTAAGGGCATTGTGGGGTGCGAAGCTCTAAATCCAATGGGGGTAGTAAAATGTCTTGGGAGGCCAGTGATCGCAAGACTCAGATATCATAGTTCGATACAATTGAACCTCGGCAGGCAATTGCGCAGGTAAGATGGGCGGGGTGTAGCCACAGAGGGGCACTGAATGATATGCAAAGGGCTTAGTTGATAGCAGACAGAACCCTCATGGCATTCAAACCCCGGATCCAGACGCTACCCTTTGGCCGGGAGGATGATCATGGGCTAAGTTGACTCTCCAAGATGATAGTTTCATTATTCGGGACTAGTGGTCAGGTGGAGCTCTCCGCGCCTCTTAGTCAGCGTCATGTGAGGTCATGTGCTGTCGTAACCAGGACAACCAATCACACCGGCCCCACCCGCCATGGGCGCAACGATATCGGCGAGATCCATCCATCTTTGAACTTCGCTGCTGGAGGGAAGTTCCAGGAGCTGCACGACCACCTTGACCACCTTGTGGCAGTTGCCATTCTAGCACCGGGGGATACTATGTAAAACAAAGGAGTTGTCAATAGGCCAAGTCTGTGCTAGGCGACCGTGCAGATATTCCCTATAGTTCCCGCCAATATACGTCAATCGTGAACCCTATCATGACTACTACTTGGAACACTAGTACTTGCTTGAGGTCTGTGGTCGGCTTACAACCAAGCGCTTGCTCACTAATACCAGCTGCAACTGTACCCTTCAGATACAGTACCACTGTCTGTTAGTAAATGCGTCATAATTGTGTGAACTGGGAAATTTGCGGAAGTAATAGTCGCAAAAAACAGCCATCAAGGGCATTGTGAAGAAACATGTTCAGACCGATACGGAAGGGCATGATGCGTGATCGTTCCTTACTACTACTTACAGCAATGAATATGAGCTATCTGATGATATCCCATTCCCTAATTCGTGGGCTAAAAGACATGTCATCCGAGAGAAGCGTCTATTGCATCGTTCAAGATGGAGAAGAAGACCGTTTAAAGAGCGGGGCTCAACCCGCCTCACTTGTCGAATCATCCACCTTCCCGCAAACAACGTCCGATCATCTCGGACGGATGATATATTGCAAACCAAGCCGAAATTATAGCAACTTCCTCTATAGCAGGGATGTTTTCTGAATCGCAGTCATAGTGCAGTCTTACAGCAGGCTTGCTAGCAACAAGATGAGCGCCTGATCGGATGGAGAAAGAAACACGAGGCCCGGCAGATGATGCGGGAGAACATAACCGACGCGACTCCTTCATAGAGTTCGGTGGTGATTAGCAAATACATCTCATCAGTTACACGTATCTACATTCAAGTTCGCTCTTCAGATAGCAGAGAACGCAAATTAACAATAATACAGGTGCGGGGAACGAAAGTCCGTGGAAGATCCGGCACCCTGGAAAACCGGATCATGCCAGTTCTTGCTAGAACAGCGCCGCACTTTCCGACAAATGCCTCAAGCATATTTTGACTGGTAGCTTCATCCAATACCCCGCGCTGGTCCGTCCCTGGGTAATTCTGTGTCCAGTTCAATCACACAGACAAAAGATGAATATCAATGCCGTTGTAAAGGCAGCAATGATTCCAGTATGGGTTCACGATTTATACGATAATTATAACACGGATATTACTGGCAGATGGTCAGCCCCGCAAAGAGATGACGAGCATACGTAAGGTATCCCTGTGACCCTGGTTGCTGATTATGAAATAAGCGCTCAGCCTTCCCAACAATCGTAGCGTTTGACGCGACGGATTCGGAACGAAAGTCGGAGGCCGGCTAGTGCGAGTGACGGTCGCGATGTGGGATTCTGATAACTCCAGCCGAGCCCACTCGGGTTATGCTAGGGAATATTCACTAAACCAAAGGGATATCCGATCTCTTTGTTCATTTCGACAACAGTTCGCCAATGTGTGGGAAAGACATGGTGAGGATTGCCTCGCACGGGCAAGTATATGTTTGGGCTGTGGTTGGCCGGAGAATTGGGTGAAGCTTCCACGGCCAATGGAAGAAGCTCCCCAGGCCGACAGCCCCCTTTAGCGCGGTACGGGATCGGTAACGAGATTGGCAGCACAAAACCGAATTTGCAGGAGAAAAGAGACGAGATGAACCCCAAATGCACCCAAAAGCCAGCCCCCACCGGGCTGCCCATACAGGGTTGATACGGGAAAATTCCCAATAGTCACTGCAACCCCGTAACAATGTAATGTAACTGGCAATCAAAGTGTGTGTTAGTAGCATAGCAGTATAGTAGTAGCATGTCCCAAACACTAGTAAATTTAGGTGTAGTAGAGCAATATCATCATTCCCACCGGCATTCATCCCAACTTGATCAACACGCGATCATATCTATCTACCCCTCTTGTTTCCAGACACATTCCTCTGAGCATACCACTTCGTTGCCCGAGTTTGTGTTTTTGCTGCAGGTCAACCCTCTCTTCCTCTACCTCAAAGCCCCCCATTTCCCCATTAGCCCTCTTTGATGCAGAGCCTTCATCGACTCTTCCCGAGCGATACCCGTGGGTCAAAATAAACACACTGCAAGCGAGAGGATCTGACCGGCCTGCCGTCGAACTTGCTGCAACACTCCCAACCAGCAGTTCAGTCAGTCCATTCTAGTTGTGCTGGCTTGCTACTAGTAGCCCTTTTCTTTCGCTCTCCCTCTCCGTCCGTTTTCCACTTGACCTCACCACTTGCTGTCCTCGACCCAGACTTGCGCTGTCCCAGTCACGGGGCGGTTCCTCCTGTGCTGCCCATTCCTCCTCTTCTTCTTCATCTGCCTCCATTGTCTTCTTTTCGTCGTTCTTCTTCCTCTTCTTCTTCCACCCAACTCCCTTCTCGCTACTACCTCCGCCCGAAGTCAGGGAGCCAGACGTGAACGACAGGGGAAAACAAAGAAGCAATATCTGTCCGAAATTATCCCCCTTACCGTCATTCCCACTTGTCAATTGATGTTTTCCGTTTCTTTTCCGGTCCTCCATGGTTTTCTCTCGGGACGATATCTAGCTTTGATCCCCCCCAGCTTTCCGTGAACAGCGAGCCCTCCTTGAGTCTTTTCCCTCCCACCCTCGATTCCAATTTTTCTCCCCCCGATCTCTCTGTGCTCGCTGTTTGCTTCGTCACCGCGACGGCCTGACCTAAATGGCGCCCCGTCGTACTGCCACCACTTCGTCTACCACTACCACCTCCACTACCACTACTACTACACACTCTACCACCAACTCCTCCCGCTCGTCTCCGAAAAGTCTTCTGGCGTCATTAGGCATGGACGATGACTCGGATTGCTCGAGTCTAAGCTCAGCGCCGGCATCACCTCTGGCACCGCCTGGTTTCTATCCGTCGCCGCCCCCGTCGCAGGACGCGGATGAGCCTAGCGCCGCCCGCAGCCAAGACGAGTTGCCGCCCGCCAGGAAGAAGCGTCGGGTCGCCGCCCCCAAAGAACGCCGGACTCAGCATCTCGACCTGTCGGCCACCGCCGGCTTGTCCTACACTGAACAGCAGTCGCAAATTGACTATCTCGTCAAAACGATTCAGCGTCACCGCAAAATTGTCGTCATCGCCGGTGCGGGTATCTCCACCTCCGCAGGAAGTATGCTTTCCCATCCCCACTCCTGATCCTGTCACCACCACGCGACTGTCCGCTCTTGCCTCTTTTCCTCGTATTTTCTAATCTATCATAGTTCCTGATTTCCGCTCGACCGACGGTCTCTTTAAGACTTTGCAGAAAAAACATAACCTCAAAGCATCGGGCAAGCTCTTGTTCGATGCAGCCGTCTACCAGGATGAGGCGTTGACCGCCTCCTTCCAGGACATGGTACGGTCGCTGTCCGAGGAAGCAGCCAAGACCTCTCCCACAGCTTTCCACCACATGCTGGCGCGACTGGGCCAGGAGAACCGTCTCACTCGTCTCTACACACAAAACATCGATGGCATTGAGACCTCAATGCCTCCGTTGGCCACGCAGATCCCGTTGAACGTCAAAGCGCCCTGGCCACGCACCATCCAATTGCATGGCAGTCTTGACAAGATGGTTTGCCAGAAATGTCGACATCTGAGTGACTTCGATGCGGGCTTATTTGACCGTCCCGATGCCCCCGAATGCCCGGAGTGCTGCCGTAACAATCAGTTCCGTATGGAAACCGGCCAACGTAGCCATGGTATCGGCAAGATGAGACCTCGCATTGTTTTGTACAACGAGCACAACCCGGACGAGGAGGCCATCACGTCCGTCATGAATGCTGACATCCGTTCTCGCCCGGACGCTCTAATTGTGGTCGGTACGAGTCTGAAGATTCCCGGAGTGCGTCGCCTGGTAAAGAGTCTTTGCTCCGTCATTCGGAGTCGCCGTAACGGAGTAACCATGTGGATCAACAATGAGTATCCCACCGGCAAGGAGTTTGAGGACTGTTGGGATCTAATGGTCAAGGGCGACTGTGAGGAAGTTGCGCGGCTGGCCAATCTGAAGCGCTGGGATGCACAGGACGACGTGTTTGATGAGTGTAATTCTTCGGAAGTGGAACGAGTGAAGAAGGAACAAGGCGAGGTGTCGGTGGTTGTCACCCCCAGCAAGAAACGACCCACTCCGACAGGCTTCCTTACTCCATCGTCGAGTTATGAGGATGAATCCAAACCTTTGGCGAAGAAAGGTCGCCCGAACCCCGCCAGCAACGGACGGAGCATTACAGATGTGCTGCAGGCGGCCAAGACAGACGGGCCAAAGAAGGCTGCTCCGAAGAAAGCGGCTCCGAAGAAGGCTGCGCCTAAAGGACGACCAAAGAAGGCCGAGCCAGCGAAGAACTCCAAGATCAACAATTTCGGAAGGGTCACCAAGGCTCAGAAAGCTGCCACAAGTGACAAGTCGACCAAGCTGGACAAGGACGACACCAAGGCGATGCACCCGTTGGCTCCGGGCGCTGCTCGCAACAACGGACCGAATCAGACGTTCCCCAAAATGGTGGGCAAGGGTGCCTCTACTCCTCCACCAAGCGGTCGGTGGCGACAGAACGAGACCATTTCTCCTGACTCTATTCCCCGAGGAATGAATCTGTTACTGAACGAGCCGACCGCATGACTCAGCTCGGGTCTGCGTCAGCGCGTCTTCCCGTCTTCTTTTCTTCTTTTTCTTCTCCTTTACTATTATTTTACATTTAAGGCCTTCCTGGGGAGTCTTTTCAATTTCAGTTAATGGCGATACCAATGATAGACTATGGGACATGGCGTTTGGGTGGGATAATGAAGATGTCAATTGGGCTCACCTCACTGCTTCAAGCAGCAGCTATGTAGCTGGTTGGAGTCCCTTGGGTACTCTTCTGATTTGTGGCGTCAACTGCACCAATGATTGTACAATATAGGCAAGCCCTTGTGGGCGTTGTGAGTGCGGAGTTCAAGGAGTCCCCACGTGGTGAATATAATGAGCAGCTGGTTGTGATGAAGTTGAATTGGGTATCAACACATTGTACATTGGATATGGAGTAGAAGTGATATCATGCAACAATCCATTTCGTTGCCGCATAACCATCAGCCGTAAACAGGGACAAAGACATATACCATACCATACACACATAATCATCATGAAACACAATCTAACCCAATCCCAAATCCCCTCGCAACTGACTCCCCGGCCCATCCTCATCCTCACTGTCCGACTCATCCCCTTCAACATCCGGATTCATCGGCCGTTTCGCCCGATCCAAATCCTCCACCCGATCAATATCATTCTCATCCTCATCCTCATCATCATCATCCTTGTGCTCTTCTTCTTCCTCGTCGTCCTCTTCTTCCTCTTCCTCCTCCTCTTCCTCTTCATCATCCTGCTCCTGTTCCTGCTCATGCTCCTCCTGCGTCTCATCACCATCCCCTTCCTCTTCCTCCCCACCACCACCAATACCATTCTTCTTCTCCTCTGCCGCCCGCTTCACCCTCTTCACCCCTCTATCCCCATCCTCTTCTTCCTCCTCAGCATCCCCACCCTTCCCCACTCCCTCCGCCGCATCAGCAGTACTACTACTGTTATCCCCCTTCTTCGCCCTCCTCTTCCCCGCCTTCAACTCCGTAAACGCCTCCAACTCCTGCTCCAATCGTGTGCGGAATCCATCGAACTCTAGTTCCGAAATGGCGCTGAAGACGTCCGACGGGGCGACGGTTCGTTTGAGGGTTGCTTCGTTGGCACTATACACAGCCCCAAAAGTAAATACATTATCCGCAGAAAGATCTAGAGGAATGAATAGGAGAGGTAGGAGGGGGATAACATACTGCGACGACAAATACGACACAAACACCGTCGCGGCCTTCTGAATCGCCAATACCGCATCCTTCTGTATGGATGTATTCGGAGGAAGAACGGATTTTGCTAGTCGGAGGGTGAGAGAGCGGGGGAGGAGGTAGTCCTATTATCACAATTTTCATCAGTATATATTAGTTATATCATGCGTTATATATATATATATATATATATTATATAGGTTTGAATTTGAAAGAGGGAGGAATGGAAGGGAGGGAGGGATATACACACCTCAATACTCACACCCCCCTCCGCCCGGGCCTTAAGTTGTTGTTCTGTCGCTTCGACCATCTGTCCTGTTGATTCGGGAAGGTGGACGATATCTGAGGGGGATTGAGAGTGGTGTATTTGGGATATTTGGGGTTGTTCTGCTGCGCCGTCGTCGCCGGGGGTGCTGCTGCTGGTGGATTTTCGGGGCATGGTGCCTTTCTTTTCTCTTTTCGGTGTCCTGTCTCTTTTCCGAGTATTGATGGAAGACGGTAATTAACCCTTGGAGATTAGGTGTTGGGTTATTTGGTTTTGGGGTGAGTGAGTGATGTTGGTTCGTTAAAAAATTCCTTGTGCAGAAATGGATTGTGACGCGACAGAAACGCGGAGGAGCAGCGGCGCGTGTGGATCGGGGGGAATCTTTGGGGTGATTATCGTATCGTATCGCTTCGGGTGGGTGGTGATAAGGTTTCTTCAACTTAACTTTGTATTTTGGGTAGTATGTATGATGGGTTGGGATTTGGTGATTGTTTTATGTTGTTGGTTATTTGGATGTGATCTTCTGATTGTTTATATTTTATTACTTTAGTTGAGATGGAGTGGTTGAAGTGGTGAGTTGTGTTAGGTGTGAGGTGCCATCCAACTATATATTTTGGTCTGCCAGATACTACTTACTACTCTACGCTGCTCAAGTTTGTAACTGAGCCTGGTAAACTACTACTATACTGCTGGTGACTACTGTACTACTTATCTGGATTACTACATATACACAGTTGCTAATAATTCAATGCTAATTGCTTTGGCATTACTGCTTAATTGACATACTAACTTGGTCCGGTATATGTTCATCGCAATTGACACTATCTACCTTTTAAGAACCATAACGCCTGGTATCCATGAGAAAAACATCTATTCGGCCATCTCATCATCCTCCCCATTGCCCCACAGTCCCTCAATCTTGAACTCTGCCGCCCACTCCGTCACAATCTGCTTCGTATCCACGCCCTCGGCCGGCGCCGCCGCGCCCTCTGCCGTAGTCACTACCGGCAGCACAGGGGCGTTAACCCAGCCCTGGATGCGTCCATCACGCCAGTCATTAATCACCGTCATGGCGGCAGCCTCGATGTTGGGCACACCACCCTTGCCGAGACGACCACGCTTGCGGGCCACATGGACCAGGAAGTCGTGCGTCTGGTCGCCACCGGTCGGGATGAGCGGGGGGATGTTGTAGAGTTGCAGCAGCTTGGAGATGAGGTCGTCCGATGTCGACAAGCGCTTGAGCAGCAACGACACGGCGGGGACGGGGTCCTCAATCTGCTTGGGGGGAACCGCGTTCAGGAGGATCAGACGCGCGTGCTCCTCCTGCTTCTTCTTCTTCTTGCTGGCCTTGTCGCTTGAGTTGGGGAAGACAATACCGGGGGAGTCGATCAGCTTGAGCTTGCTGTCCAGCTTCACGGACCGCAGGCTGGTGGTCACACCGGCCTCGGCGCCCGTGGGGCAAGCGTTGCTGGAACCCTTGTTCAGACGGGCCGTCAGGGCGTTGATGACGGACGACTTGCCGACGTTGGGGTAACCGATCACACCGACGGAGATGGACCGCTTCATCTGCTTGTTGTGTGCGTACGACTTGAGCGCGCGGAAGAGCGTCTCGGAGGTGCCCTTGACGGTCAGCTGCTTGTGGTCGAAGCTGTGAGCGTTGCCCGAGCCGTTCGAGGCCTTGAGAGGCAGCGTGGGGAAGTAGCGGCGCAGATGGATCAGCCAGTTCTTGAGAACCGGAGGAGGAACCAGATCGATCTTGTTGAGAATCAGGATCAATCGCTTGTTGCCTCCGTCGGCGGACATGATCTCGCGCTCCACCTCCTTGGACCGAGTGCCCTCGGGATCACGGGCATCCAGAACGTACAACACCACATCGGCGTTGTCAATAACCTGCTTGAAAACCTTGTCGAAGGCCCGTCGCGAGCTCTCCTTCGAAGTGCTCTGGGTAATCGGGGCGGAGACGTCCAGGCTGGCACCGCCTTCTTCGTCCTGGTCCATCTCGTCCATATCCTCATCGTCGGAGTCGTCCTCATCCATCTCATCGTCCTCATCATCGGAGTGCTCCTCCTCGTACTCGGCAGCTCTGGCACGGGCGGAAGCAAGCAGCGCCGCCATGGGGTTCGAGGAGTCACCGACATCCTCGTCCATATCGTCGTCGATCAGATCGTCCTCATCAATCATGACATTGGCATCAGCAGGGTCCTCCTCGGCACCACCCTCCTTCTGAGCCTGGCGACGAGCGCGGGCCTCATCGCGAATGCGCTGTTGTTCCTCCGCCTTCAAGCGTCTCTTCTCTTCGATCTCGTGGAGGATCTTGTCCTTGTGCGGGAACAGGTTGGGGATACCGGGGTCCTTCTTAATCTTGGAGCGCCACTCAGGGTTCTACAAGCAGCATTAGTATGACCAATAATCATGCAGAAACATGCAAGAGGACTGGTGTACCTTCTTTGCAAGCTTTCTCTGCTTGCGTTGCTTGGCCGCGGAGGCCTTTTCAATCTTGTGTCGTAGGCGGACGGGAACCCGCTTGGAGTTTTTGCCTGAAGGAAGGGTTAGCAGAGGACAATGGCGATACTAATGAAGCGAACATACCTAGCTTGACCATCTTGCCTAATAACCCCTAAACCGTCTCTGAGCAAAAAGGCGATCCAAAGCACAGAGACTCACTCTGATCCGCCCGAACAATTTTGTGCCGCCAAGAAGATTTCGGCGGCAAGGCGCTAAGATAACCGGCACAATGAAACACCGATCTCCGGTAATACCGGCATACTTTCTTACTACAGACTATGGATATCCGGCGCTGCCATTCGTTCGTTCCTTTGGACTGACTCTCTCTCACGACTTACCAACTCATTCACTCCTTCTGCCTGAAGCCTGAAACCCACCTTTTCTTTTCCCTTTTGTCCCTCCTTTTGCTGACTGGCGGTGCTGACTGTGTCCACTCCTTACATCTATTTACTCACATTCTTTGAGTTGTCCTCCATTCATTCTACCCCCACCTTGTGTTGGCCCTGGATTTTTCTGTCCTACTTCCCCCGCCATTATCATGTCTAGACCATCCGGCTCCTTCTCTGCCCCTCCGCAAGTCCACACTTTTGACGGACTACTCTCCGACTTTGACGGCACTATCGTCGACTCAACCGATGGTCAGTCCCCCCTCCTCATTCACACATACCCCTCCTCTGTAACCATGCACTGACATCTGATCTTTAGCGATTGTGAAACACTGGCACAAGTTCGTCCCCACCACTTCCCTCCGTGTAACCAAACGCCATCCGTCCTAATCATCACTTGCAGAATCGGTGCGGAGTTGGGCGTTGACCCCAAGACCATTTTGGCCACTTCCCACGGCCGCCGAAGCATCGACACGATCCAGTTGTACGACCCGAAGAAGGCCAATTGGGAGTGTAAGTGTATTCCTTTGGACACTCTGCAGTTCGATTGAGAAACTCCAACCTGAAACCACCACCATCACCACCACCACCACTCTTCCTTATCGTCCATCTACCACATACAGCATACAGCAGACTGACCAGTTGCTTTCTCAACCGCCAGATGTCAGCTACATCGAAGGTCGCATCCCGAAGGAATACGGGTCGGACGCCGTCGAGATCCCCGGGGCGCGGTATTTCATGTCAGCGTTGGACGACGCCGGTGCTCGCTGGGGCGTGGTAACCTCTGGAACGCGTGCGCTGGTGGACGGCTGGCTGGGCGTGCTGAACCTCGCCCACCCCAAGGTCTTGGTGGTGGCGGAAGATGTCGAGCTGGGCAAGCCTGACCCCCGGTGCTATCTGCTTGGTCGGACGCGCCTGGGTCTGGAGCATTCCTCGTCTCTGGTAGTTCTGGAGGATGCGCCGTCGGGCATCAGGGCTGGTAAGGCGGCCGGGTTCAAAGTCATTGCGCTCACGACGACCCACACGCTTGCGCAGCTCCAAGAAGCCGGTGCCGACTGGATCATCGAGGATCTGAGAAGCATCAGCATCAAGGGCGTGGTCGATGGCCAGATGCAGTTGGAAATCCGGAACGCCTTCCAATAAAGGGGATTCACTTTGAACTCTGAACTCCAGGTGGAGGAGGTTTCTGGAAACCCGACGACGAAAGCTTGGATCCAATAGATTGCGGGCATCTTCCTTTTTACCTTTTGGATTTATCCATGCTCTTCTTATCCATTTCCTTGATTTCGATTGACATTTAGCCTGATTTTTTGATCCCTTTATTGTGTGCGGGTCACAGTATCGGGGTCCCAGTCTACTACGAAGATTCTTAGACAGAACCCTCGATTGTACATAGACAGATACCTACCTACTTGACCTACCTCGAGTAAGTCAAGTTATCATTAGATAGACCAGCGAAGAACCGTTTTCCTACATACATACATACTACATACATACCTACCTAGTAGTCTCTACCCACCAACAACAAACAACGCAACTAGTCGATCACATAGTAAACTACTAACTACTGTACGTACCCCAAATATGACACATCTCATCTCATCTCATTCACCATCACCAGAGCGACCCGAACAACACCCCCCAACGTTTTTTTTCCACCCTTCACCACCGTTCCATTCGTTTCTAAGTATTCCTTTACCTTGCATGCCACTAACTAACGTACGTACGTACGTACGTCCCTTGAATATCCTCCCTCCTCTCTCCTCATATAACCCAACGCAGAAATTGCAGATACCACCCACCCCCTCAAAGTTTGAATTCATAACGGTGGGGGTTGGGTGTGATCTAGGTCGAATCTGATATTGTATTTTTGTATCGGTCTCAGATACGTTGGTTTGGTCGCTCATAGTATGTATGTCTGGTAGTACTGGAAATGGGAAGTGGGGTTTTGGATTTGCTTGAAGGTGGATGGATGGATGGATGATTGTTTTATAGAACGTGTTGGGAGGGAGAGAAGGTAATGATGTGGTTTACTTTGTTTTGCTATGCTCTCCATGGCTACTGGGAAATTGGAAAGGGTAGTAGATTTATGTTTAGTTAGCTATTTCTATTTCCCCCTTGTGTATGAAGGTAGTAAGCGAGTAGGTGAGTGACTAGATGGCTGATTTGGGGGTTTGTTGATGTCTTAAGTTGCGAGGAAGGGGAGTTTGTGATGGTGTGATGGTGATCATATTCATATGAACTTGGTCTGTGGTCTTTACTGGAGAGTGTGCATCTGCTTTTCAATATGATGTAAGCGGTCAGTAGTAATGATGATTCTATTTAGTAGCAATCATGTAGCTCAGACTACTAAGTGACTAGATGTGAATAGGTATATGTGTTTCCTCTACGGGTCAGGATATGTAAGTGAGTCGTATGATGACAGCGAAAGCTGTATGTCTCACACCGGAAATCTTAAAGTGTATTCCGTGCCGTGTTGACTGCTTGCTTGCCTGTATGTGATGTGATGGACTATCTTCTTACTCACCAGACCCTTACCTTAGCTTAGCTCGAGATAGAGTATACAGTAGAGCTTGTCGTCTGTCTTGTGGAACATGGAGCTTAGTGCTGCTGCTGCTGCTGCTGCTTGTCTGCAGGTTAGTACATAGCACATAGCGTAGCGCCAATGTCCCCCCATTCCCCAAAGAGAGGAAATATAAGTTGATCATGTACTCCGTGAGTAAGCAGGATGCTCTCCGTGCGTCTGTCTAACTCCCAAGGAGACATGACAGACTAGTGTCGGGTCGTAAGTAGTTTCGTACAGTAGACAGGTTAGTAAGTAGTAAGTGCTGGGGGAAGAAGCTGTACCTACAGTAAGCACAGTGCAGGCAAGCAGACAGACCCTCCGAAAAGTAAAAGAGGGAAGCTCCATGCTAGATAGTTAGCTAGCGGTGAAGCAGCAGCAGATCATTGAGTCCGCTTTGCTTTTTGGTAGGTAGGTACTAAGCAAGACTAGGTAGACTAATCAAGGACCCGAAAGTAGGAAGTGGCAAGAGAGCTTGCTTCAGCTCAGCTCAGATCAGCTCCGATGGAGAAACAATCCGGGGAGGACTCCGTATGGAGCACCCCAGCCAGCCTTTTTTTCGACGGGCGAATAATAGACTGGTTGACTACTGTAAGTACGCAACTATACCAAGTATACTGTATGTATGCATGTCGGTGACAACAGCCCTAGGAACAGACAAGACCGTCAGTGCATTTCCACACCGGCGAAAGTCAACTTAGCTCAAGACCGCTTCTCTGGTACTCGCTCGCCCTGTCGTGACAGATCTCATCCGCTGAGGCATTTTCGGAAAGCCGAGCGCAATATATCAGAAGATTAAGTTAAACGGCTGCGCGCGGTGGGTTGCTGGTCACCGACCTGGATTGCTCTCACCGACAAGTTTCGAGTGTTTCTTTCCTCCCGAACCGATTGGGGTTGCTGGAAGTAGGTCTGTCTCTTCTCGCTTTCTTTTTCTTATTTTATTTTTTTTCTTTCTTTTTTACTTCCGGGATTCTGGGTCCCGTCGCGCGGGACGGAGGAATAGGTAAGTAGGCAGACAAGCCAGTAGTACCTGAGTAGGTAACGCGAAGTGGCCATAGCAGAGCTGGGACTTATTGCATAGTGGCTGCTGCAATGGTTATACTTAGGAACCTCCCGAACATTACGACTGCACCCAAGTCTTCTGGGAATACGTAGGTGGCCGAAACACACGGTCCAAAAGATGATCTGAGAGAGAAATGTGTGTGAGAGGATGAGACGTGGCGAAACAACACGAAACAAACGGATTGTGCCAAAAGGATGGAATCCCCTATGTGCATACATCCTGTACAGTAGTAGGGGCCACCCAGCGGCGGCTGCCCGTTCGGAGGACACGAGCCAGCAGCACAATTGCAGATTCCAGGGGGAAGGGAACGAAAAAGAAAACTTGCAATAGTGGCGGGAATCGGTTGCACATCGCAGACCCGAAAAAGGATCGCCTCGTTGAGAGAAGGGGGCGATCAGATTCTGGAAAAGAGATGGGTCGACTTGTTGACGGCGAACTTCGATCGGCGCGATCCCTGCTGCTTCGGCGCCGGAGATCGAGTTGAGCTCGTCCATGGCCCAGCGAGGTGCATCTGGCCCATCCCCCCTCCCTCAAGCTGCGTCTGACGCCCTATGCAAGGGATGATGTAGGCCTGCCGGGAGTGTGCTGTGATGGAGGAGGTGGAGTCACATCTTTCCTTCTTTTCTTCTTTCTTTTTTACGCTTTTCCCCCTTCTTGCCATTTTGGTTGGAAAGAGGAGTCTTTGGTTTGCGGTGGTTATGGGCATTACACTGTATCACTAGTCAATGAGAAGCAGAGTGATTATCAGACGGCGAGAGAAGGGAAGTGGATCGGCCAGTCAACTGAAGCCCACTCGTGACGAGAATCATTCACCGTTGCTGCAGCTCAGGCAACAACGATGTGATCTCTGGTACAGCAACCCAACTCGTCACACTCCGTCAGCCCTGGTTCAAACCTGGGAACCTGGAACACGATGACGGGGTCGTCAGGGAAGTTAGCCGCCCTGAGCGTTGAGCACGGTGGCACAATCACGGAGTTAAACAAGATTAGGATAGAGAATAGGCAGGCAGATCGAAGTGCCGTGTGGCGGCTTCGCTGAGAGCCTATCGATCGAAGAGGCTATTGTTATGCCATGACAAATCGCGGTGAAGCATTTTGGGTTCCGTCCATCCAAAGGCAGTCATCTTGAGTCAAGTCTGCAAGTCTCTGGTGCTGACAGTCACGCTATTCGGAGAACGCCTAAAGACAGGCCGGTGATACTCACTAGCAGGAAGATCGTCTAGGGCCTGAGGCCCTCACTAGTCCGGTGATCTACATGTGGCTGACGCTCGGAAACGCACCGCCACAGATTCAGCTCTGTGGCGTTGAGTGTCGCAGCTGAACGTCGCGTTCAACACGGCGTGGCCGGAGTAAGCTAGTTAGTGATGAGGCAGAAGGCACTACTACGGAGGGGGAAAAGGAAAGCCATGGCAATCGACGCCCAGATAGGCCCACATATCCACATATGCATGGCCATGCTGGGTTCCAATCGCACTAAATTCGAGCCAGTGCATGGGAAGTTGGAGTGGGCAATACAATCTCATCCCCCTCCCTCCCCTGTTAGTAATGATACGATCATGGCGGGTGGTGATTGTCACACTAGACAGTATCCCGGCCAGATGTGACAAGCGGAGGGTAGCTGCCACGGAATGATCAGACCCAGGGGGATGGGCAGATGGAGTTCGGATGGTATGTAAGCAGGGAAGTTTTTCCTTACGGACAGGCGACCGGCCGTCAATAGGGGAGGATCCCCCAGTGCCAAGTCAACCTTATACCCAGACAGGGGATCCCATGCTATTGAGGATCGGGGCCCCGGTCCAGCAACTCGGCTCCCACTGGCCAGCCTGATCAGCATCTAAGTATACTTCAGGTTAGGATATTCAGTGAGGCTTCCAGTTTCAGGGGAGGATTGGGGGTCGGGGGGGTCATCACTGACTTCCATTTTCAGAGTGTACCATCTCATCCACCCACCCATCCACCCATCCTCCACTCAGGTATCACAGACCATCACTCCCATGCACCGAGGATCATCGGGGATTTTTCTTGCTTTTTCTCCCTCTTCTTTTCCTTTCGCTCGCTTCCTTCCCATGTATTTGCTTGTTTTTCCCTTCCAGGGTCCAATATTTGAGACCTCTATCATTCGGGCGACAACGGCCCTCTGTGAGATCCCATCAGCCTATGAGGATCGCGGTGGAAGCGATCCGTGCGGGTGGTGGTGGGAGTGGTGGTGGATCCTCACAGGGAGCCAGCTCAGACTAGGCAGAATAGTCAGATCCTCATTCTTGTTCTGAGAAGAGATCCATGTTGCACGCCCAGGACTGTTCTCAAGCTCTGAGACGTGAGTCCACGCCGGGATACGCCTGTGCTGATTGGTCTGAGCTTGTTTGAGGGGTTGTCAGGTTACGCGACATGAACCCATCTGTTGCAGGGCCATTGCTGTTGGGTGGACAGCTTGTGGCAAGGTGTTCCCAGTACGATGTGCTTAAGCTGTTTTTAAGGTGCTGCATACATACACGTGAACCCGAGAGACCCGGTGCGTTTTCGTGGTTGGTTGGAGAGGGAATCCCGGTTACCCTGGCACCTGGATGGAGTACTTGCCCTTCAATTATGGTGAACTCCATATTTCGTAGTTCAGCATTGACGGCCCAGTATAATTACTCCGTGTGCGGAGTGTGTCGAGATAGTTAGTAGTTAGTAGTATGTACTTTAGCACCGCTCGAAACTCGGTATGGGAAATACCCCATTGTTTTGGCCCCTCTCCCGCGCCCCCCCCCTATCTATCTGGTTCCACTTGGGCCTCAGATAACTACTAAGTACTTACTCCTCCCACTATCAACTACTTCGTATCATTCCCCACGGGTTGTAGTCAGATGATACTTCTCTGGAACGCAGTGTGTGTCGTAGTCAGGCTATGGGCCCCGCCAGACTGGAGCCCTCTTCTTGGGGACATCCCTGGCCAGCATCATCGTCCGACTGTGGACGGACTGGGGCCAGGTGCATGGCGGTCGCGAGAACGAAGGAAATAGGCTCACAGACGAACCAAAAGATTATACCCATGCATGCGTGCATGCATATGTATTTCGGCTCAACAGTTCTCGTTGCCCATCGAGACCTGTGGGAAGCGCATATGATAGCGTCAGACCAGATCCCCCCCTAACATGACATTAATGACCCCCGGTCCTTCTGCTGCTGCATGAGAGCAGATTGCAGATCACTGCTGCGTCATCTCGTGACTTGGGGGGCGAGCGAGTGAGCGAGTGAGCCTGTGTCTGTGACCACAATCATGATTAGCGTCGATTATGGCCTGGTTTGACAGAAGCCAGAAATTCAAACGGACGAATGGCGGATTTCGCAGAAAGTTCTCACGCGTGTAGGGCGCTCAGAGTGGGGAGAAAGAGAGGGGGGAAGGAAGGGAGTCCTATCATCGGATCCCGAGAGCATTGGAAGAAAAAGGAAAGGTGAGAGATGCTCGACAATCGACAGATCCCTGAGGCGGATCGACGAGGATCTGTCGACTATTGGTTTTGGTGGGTCTTTGGCTGAGCTGCTGCCACGCTTTTGCAGCCGGCGCGGTCTGTTCTCTCATTCTCCCTCTCTCTCTCTCTTCACGTCCTTCCCGATGGCTCTTTCTTTTTTTGTGTTTCCTTCGCTTTTTAATTTATTAATTTACTTAATATTCACTGAAGGAAAAGAATTATCAGAGAAAGAAAAATATTTACCTATTGGCGAATAGCAAGTCCGTGAGTTCCAAGGACCTTGCGGGAAAAGCATGACAGGCATTTTTTGCAGAGATCCGTGCCAATTGAGTTACTGGGACGGTGTCCATTCATACGGGAAATACAAGGCCAATGCATCTGGTACGTCCGGTATGGGGGCTATTATGGGGGAAGAAGGTGTGGGAAAGGCGAAGTCAAGGCATAAATCGACTGAGTGAGTTACTGACTTTACTGACTTTCTTTCGGCTGGCCGGAGCTCCTTCCCCGCTTCACCTCTCTTTGTTCTGGCACACCCTAAGGAGAGCAAAGTACCAATTGTGAATGGTCGAATGCGTCGATTGCCATGGCAGTCTGTGGGGGGTGGATAAGAGGGTCTCTCAGTCTCAGGACTCAGGAGGGAGTACTTTGATCACGTCATGGCCTCATGAACCCCAGTTCTGTCTGATGTGCCATGCTACTCCGTAGATTGATGAACTGCGTGGTTTATCCTATCCCCTTATCTCACTGGGCGGGCCACTGGAGCATCACGAAGCCGTCCCGTGGGAGTGGTGAAGAGTCGTTGGAACCGTCGGGTAAGAAGAACGGACTATCAATCGGAAGCCGGGGATCTTCGGACCGCTGGCGCTAACCGGATCCAGAATATGTACGGTGAATCTTAATCCGTTGGTCGGCGTCCACAACTCCGAATGGCCATTGGATGCTTTCTCTCTCTCTCTCCCCATCCAGCACCCCGTGATCGCAGACTGGCCCAGTAGGATGTGGCCATGCGATCCCCCGGCCTGCCACCAGAAGGCGTGAGACATGGATAGGCCAAGTGGGCGGTGGGCTCAGCGATCCATCTCATGGCTCACTTTCTCACGCCGCCTTTCAAACGAACTTGCCCCACTGATGGCGTGGTCCCCGACCGCCGTGATCGGGGAGTCAAAAGGTCATGGGTGAAGAAGGAGAGATTCTAGCGCAAGCTTTCCTCAGTCGGGAAAGACGTGATGTTGCAGAGCTTAGATACTCCGTCCGCGTGGGAGAACCCGCTCTCTTGGGGCCCCCTCCACCCCCAAGGAAAAATAAATAAAATATAATGAAAGAGATGTGAACAACAATCTACTATTGCCGACGGCGTGTCTTGGTGGCCACGCTCGGGGCCATTGAGTTGCCCGGATCTGCCCAGAAGGAACCTTCCCCCTGGGAAGAGCTAAAATCGGCTTTGGATGCTTTGGTGGCGCTAATGCAGGAACTGACGAAAGTCCGTAGGAGCAGGGACCGGGTTCAACTCAACTCGCAGCTAATTCCCAGCTTTGTTCGGAATCATGGTTCATAGGGAGAAAGTATGTGAGACTGTCAACCAAGTTGTCACTGGAGCTTAATTGCTGCCGTTTAAGCCATTGCCGGGGTTCAGGTTTGGTTTGTGTGGGAAATAGCAAGCGCTGGCATTTGGGATGAACGACGAGGGCTTTGTGCGGATGAGAGGGGGGTGGCTTATCCACTTCAACCAATGGGAGGCCACGCATCTCTAGTCTTTACTCTGCTACTAGACTACTAAGTACTTACTCCTCAGTCTGACTCTCACTTACTAAGAATTGTGGTCCCTCAGGGCACCCTTGGTACATACGGTGGACCAAAACTTTGATAATGATTGCCGAGCATGATTAAGGAGTATACATCCCTCCTGAGGGAAAGTAAATAAAATTATGATTTTGCAGGTCAAAGCTGCAGGAAGAGAGGAAAAGAAAAGATGACCATCACATTAGAACTGTGAAGAGAAAAGCAGAAGAACAAAATTGGAAAACCTAAATAAATTAAATCGAAAAAAAAATGGGGTAAATCGAGGTGACGAAATTGTTTCCACCATTTAGCAGCAGACGAACGAAAAAAGCGAACTTTTGGATTTTACTGTACAGCAGTACCACCGTGACGGGTCTGACGATAATAAGGGAAAAAAGCAACTGAGCTCACTCTGAGGTACAGCATGCGTTGCGGACCCGTCGGACCTACATATGATCCTATGGAGTACATACAGGCATAGGCATGTTCTTTTCACAGTGACGCCAGAGGAGAAGAAACAGTCACCGCCGCCACCGTACTACTTTTTTTTTTTTTTTTTTTTTTTTTTTTTTTTTTTTTTCCATTTTATTTTTTGAAGTAAGCGCGCGCGCCTCTTAGTTACACTCTCCCCTCATTGCTTGTGGAAGGCGGCGGGACTGAGAAGATCCTGGCTCTGTTTCCAGTTGGTACGATTAAGATAAGGTGTGGCATATATCAAGTAGCTAAAACTTCGTATAATCCTTTGAAACATCAATGACATCTATCTACTACCCCCTCTCCGTCTTGTTCCAAGACCACTAGCCACACAGTATTTCAGTTTGTGGTTTTTTTTAGGTGAGGACGATAGTTAGTTAGCTTCCCAAGATAGTAGTACGTACTCAAGAGTCCGCCGAGAGTGTGAGAGCCCAGGCCGCCACCCCCTAGAACCGCTCGGGCGGAAGCACCAGGAAACCCACTCCGTCGGCCAATATTTTTGGGTGGTCGATGCCTTGGGTGTTTAATACCGTACCTGGTAACGGTTTGGTTCCCCGAGACGGGTCTAGTACTGAATTGGTAGGTAGCTACTAGTTTGGGTAGTATGTTTTCTGCTGCGAGCTTTTCTCAAGTGACGAAGGGAAATAGAGTGTGAATTTGCAGAGAGGGGTTTTTGCAGGGGAAAGAGGAGAAAGCGGAAGAGATAAAATAATGAAAAAGAAAATAAAATAAACTGAGTGACAAGCAGAAAGTGACAGTCTAGAGGAACAACCCGAAATAGCCAATCCGAGATGTGCTGTAGCCGACAAGCCAGAAGGGAGGGTTGTGTGTGAGTGTTCACACGAAAGCCCGAAGCGCTGCGGGACACGGGGAGTTCGCCCAAACTGACGGTACGGAGCAAATACAGCCCTGATACCAAAGCTGTCCAGGCCAAATCCTCCTCCAGCCAGTTCCGGGCGGCGATCACCAATCAGCGCGGCCCCCTCCACACCTTCTTGCCGGGCAGGCTGCCGCCGCCAATCTCTCCCCATCCAGCGTTAGCCAATAGGCGAGCTGCCAGCACCACCCACTCCCTCCCCCCGAAATCCAGTCCCTCCAAACCCTCTCCTGCTGCTGCTGTTGCTGTTGCTGCTGCTGCTCTTTCTTTTCTCCAGTTAGTGTTAGTTTACTCTTTTCTGACGGACTGACTGTCAATCCTTTCTGGGTCCTCTCGTTTTTTTGTTTTTTTTCCCTTTTTTCCCTTTTTTCCCTTTTGTCCTTTTTCCTTTTCTTTCTCATTCACTCACTCACACTCCCGACACACTCTCTGCCTACTCTCTTTACAGTCTTTCTCTCACTCAATTCTCTCCTTCACCTCCTACTCTCCTTTTCCATTTTGGTCACTCCCTCTACTATTTCCCTTTTGAATTAATATTTTTATTATTCTGAATTTCTTAATTCTTATTTTATTTTTATTTTCTTGCTTTTTCCCTGTCAGCTTAGTCCAACTCATTCCTTCTTTTTCCCTTTCTGTGCTGTCCTATTCGGCCTTGTCTTCATCGGACTTATACCTTCCTTGATCCTGCTCTTCGTTCCCCTCCTCTCTCTCTTTTTAATTACTCTCTATATCTCTCTGTCTCTGGATTCAACCTCTCATACTCTCTCATTACTACATCGGATTTCCTTTATAACTCCACTTGGCTGCAAGTATATACACCCTAGACAGCTTGCCCGCCTACTTCAGTCCCGTCATTCCCTACTACCCGCCGCCGCCCTCCTCCCTTTCCTCTCCCTCCTGCTTCAAGTCCTTATCTTCCCGCCTTCCCCCTCCTCCTGGCTTGTTTGAGTCCAGCTATATTCTCTCTGTGATTCAATCGTTCAATGGTATAGAGTTGCCTCGTCACAGCTGCGGCTTGTTGGCAGCAACTGGTCCTGTACCTTGAATACCTTATATTCGCCTCACCTCAACACCTCCGACAATTCCTACACTCTTCCTCCTATCTCTATATATACTCTGATTCTCCGATTCGCACAACATGAATTATCTCCACCACCCCTACGCATTCACCGGCCATGCCGCCGTCCCCATGGAGCAGCCGGTTGCCTTCGACCCAACGATGGCCCACCCGTCCATGATGCATCCAATGGATGGCTACCTCTACCCTCACCCGCCTTTTGACATGGTCGACTTCTACCACCAACCAATCATGGACTACGAAGAATATGCAGAGAACCTCTCTCGCCCAAGGTTGACGAAGGAACAAGTTGAGACCTTGGAGGCCCAATTTCAGGCGCACCCCAAACCCAGCAGCAACGTCAAGCGTCAATTGGCGGCTCAAACCAATCTGAGCCTGCCACGAGTTGCTGTAAGTTATCCATTGGCTCACAGAATACTCGATACATTCACTAACCGTATATGCAGAATTGGTTCCAGAATCGCCGAGCAAAGGCTAAGCAACAAAAGAGACAAGAAGAGTTCGAGAAGATGCAAAAGGCCAAGGCCGAGGCCGAAGAAGCCGCTCGCGGCAAGTCGGAGTCCACGGAGAGCTCAGACTCGAAGGAGGACACCAAAGACTCGAAGGATGAGACCGATAAAGATACCCCCAAACAATCAGTGGAGAACACTGCCGAGCGGACAAAAACGCCGGCTGCTTCGTCCTCGCGGCCTAAGCACCAGAAGACCAGAAGCGAGTCGGCACGGGAGGCTACCTTTGCTTCCCTGCAACGGGCGTTGAATGCTGCTGTTGCTGCCCGTGACCGGTATGGCCAGGACGGCGAAAACAGCCAATCCCCCAGCATGGATGGGTCAGTGTCGCCGACCACAACCTTCTCCAACAACCGCTGCGGCAGCCACGATAGCAGCAGACATGGACAGGGTGACCTCAGCTCTTCTTTCTCACAGAACGCCATCTCGTGGACGTCGCAAAGTTCTCAGGGTGCTCTTGGGTATGTGACGTCGGGGGAGTCGCTGACGATGCCCGGCATGGACGGCACTCAACATGACGCCGGCCATGACTCGATGCAAAACGTCCAGTTCCACCCCTCCCAGAATGAAGACTGGTCCCACCAGCTTCAGACGTCAAAGTCTCTTTCTGGCTACCGTTCGGCTAGCGATGCTGAAGTTTCCTACAACGGTGTGCAATACCCTATGCAACATGACATGTCGGTGCCTAGGCGAGGCTCTTCTGACGAGCTGGCCGACACATTGGAAGGTATTGGCATCAACACGCACCCCAGCTCGCAGCTTGTGAATGAAGGCGACCGTTCATCCTGGAAGGAACCCAGCAAGGAACTTGACCTTGCAGCCCGGAGAAAGCGCCCGAGGCCTGCTGCCATTGGCACCTCGAGGTCGTCCTCGATGTTGACGGGATCGTCCACCATGTCACCCTCGACGAGGCTCCCGAGCTACGGCAACAGCCATGGCGTGAGGCAATCCAAGTCTGCACAGGGTCTAAACACCCGATATGCGGGTGTCCGGAAGGCATCTGCAGCTCAGCGTTCCCCCCTTAACCTGTCTACTTTCGCCGAGGCTGGGGCTCTGGGCTCCAAGGCTGACATGTCGTCCATGCTACAACCTGCGGTTACGACAGGGGGTTTGGCGCCACCAACACCCTTGACACCGGAAGATCTGCACCATCTGCTCCCAACCACTCCCAGCGACGGTGGCTACTGCCTGTCGGCGCAACCGACTAGCCAATTGTTCCCTACCACACAGCCGATGCAGATCAACATTGCATCACCTCCCGCGACACCGTTGGCCGTGGATGTGCTCTCTTCCTACCCGTACCAAGGTGTTGCCCCTCCGATGTCAGCCCCTGCCCATTACACGTCATTCGCCGATTACGCCTCCTGCGAGGCTCCCCTGACGGGCAGAAGCTGGACTGATGCCACGTCAATGCCGTCGCCTGAAGCATCCTTTCAGAGCCCCTGCCAACTTCCGCAGGCGGACCTGACAACGATGTCATATGAGCAGGCGATGGAACAGGGGCCCGACCATGTACCTGTGACAGGGTCTCCCTCCCTCGTGTATCACACGAGTGACGTCGATATGCCGACGTCGGCTGCATTCTGTGGGGATTCGAAGCAAACGGAGTTCCACATCTACGAGTTCCCGGAGCAGCAGGAAGCTCACCGATTTGTTGCACAGCAGCTTCCGTCGCAGAAGCCCAAGGCCTATACGTTCAACAATCAAACGCCGAACGACTTTTGAGCGCCACACGGCACCATCCAACCCATCTACTTTGTGCACGTACCATTCCTTTCGCCAGTCAAAATTTCTCGGTGGCCTGTAATATAATACCTTTCTCGATGCCCGGCTTCTCGACCGTGGTCTAACCAGAGTGGATCTCTGCTCTTCTTGGCATTCAGTGTTGCTTCTGTTGGGACTCCCATATATATCCCAGGGCTTGTGTTGTTTTTATGCATTCGTGTTGGTGTCTCTCTTTTGGCGTCTACCCCGGTCTGCGATCTGGTTCCTCAGGGTTGGGGATTGAACATGTTTGAATATTATTTTGGATATATAGCATGTGGGCTTTGGGAAGCGGCTGCTTTTTCTTTCATTCTTGGACTTACTGGAGGCCTGTTTGGGTCACGTATCTACTGCCATACCACCACTACTACATACTGTAATACAACTAATAAGGACGGGCGATGACTGCAAAGCATTGCCGTCTGGCTTCATTGGAATTTTTCTACCTTTCTACCTTTCTTGACTCAATTAATTTATAAATGTCTTGGCTTGCTTCCAAGCCGGTTAGCTGTCCGACCACCCAGCACGTGCGGCACTGGTAGGTGTTTAGCCGTCTGCCAACCATGCCCCATGTCCATCGGCAACAATTATGCAGACATGTCGACACTCCACCTTGTGCTATATAACAGCCTTCAGCCAGATGCTTTGCTACCCGCACCTGAAATTACATAGTAGTCCTCTACAGTGACTGATTCCTCTCACAATGAAATTCTCCAGCATAGCACCCCTCGCCATAGCTCTCACAGCCACCGCGCAAGCCTCCTACATCAACTACACCACCGTGACCGGCTACTTCCTCCAAGACGAGGCCTCCACCGACGCATCCACATTCGACTATGTACCACCCACCCCATTCCCCTCCCACTAATCCTCCCTCCCCTCCAACCCACCGATATGCTAATGATATGACCAGACAACCACCAACTTCGGCCTCATCAACCGCACCTACCCCTCCGACAACACCCACAATGACAAACAAACCCAATGGGAACGCTTCCACCACCACATCACCACCCTAAACCACCACTCCCCACCAACCATCTCCTACAAAGTCCTCTTCCTCGGCCGCCACGGCGAAGGATACCACAACGCCGCAGAATCCTACTACGGCACGCCCGCTTGGAATGTATGTATACTATCCCCTCATCCCCTCATCATCCTTCCCCTCCCCGCACCCATCACTAACCCCCCAACCCAACCCCACCAGTGCTACTGGTCCTTATTAGAAGGCAACTCCACAACAACCTGGTCCGACGCAGACCTCACCCCCTCCGGAATCCAACAAGCCCAAATCGCCCACTCCTTCTGGTCACACCAGATAGCATCACAGAGGATCCACACACCAGATACCTACTTCGTCAGCCCGCTCCTCCGCGCCCTGCACACAGCAAATATCACTTTCTCTAATCTGCCTCTACAATCACCATTCACTCCAGTAATAAAAGAATTCTTCCGCGAGAGCGTCACCCTACATACGTGCGATCATCGACACAACGCCACGTACATCCATTCCCTCTTTCCCGAGTGGACGTTCGAGAAGGGATTCAGTGAGGAGGATGGGATGTGGGATGGGGTGAGGGCGGAGACCAATGGGGCGCAGGATGTGAGGAGTAAGGTTGCGCTTGATGAGGTGTTTGCAGGGGATGATGGGGTGGGGATGTTTGTGAGTGTGACGAGTCATTCCGGGGAGATTGCGAGTTTGTTGAGGGTGATGGGGCATAGGGAGTTTGGGCTTAGGACGGGAGCTGTTTTGCCGGTTTTGGTGAGGGGGGAGATTGTCGGGGATGCGTTGGAGCCGACGGTTACGGGGACGAGGTGGGAGACGAGTGCGCATTGTACGGCGCCGCCGGTTACCTCTGTTAGTTCGGGGTGTGTGTGTGCTTCTTCGGCGGTGCCGGTGACGACGCCGTTGGTTACTCTTGCTGGTTAGTATGACTGGTAAGAGTGAGGGTGGTATAGGGAGGTGGTAGTTAGTATATTGGATACTGTATATAGCCAGTCACTCATTGCTAGGATTGGAATGGTCCGTATCTTACGGACCTTAGGTGCATATAGCATAGCCATAGCTGATAATGATAAAGTAGTAGTGCAACCTACAGCTCCTACAGCCATCTACAAGGAACAAGGTGGTTGTCGAGGGTTTGTCAAATTATAGCCCCCTAGTGTGCAACCGTGTTGGATCTGCATAAGCATAAAGACAGCATCGAGAGTATCACGATAGCAGCAACTGGACAAGAGGGGTGTGGTTCCATGTGTAAGTAATGAAGAAAATGTAAAGCCAGGAGTAATAGTGATGGGTACCCAAAATGTAACAGCAGTGGGGTGTCGCAGAAAGTGGGGAAGTGCAGATAGAAAGATTCCCGATGCTAAGAAAGTAAAAGACACGGAAGAATGATAACTGTAACATGAACTGTTGTAATACGCCGACCAACAGAACGACACATTCACCGCCATACCATCTGACCGTCCCTCTATCATGGACATATGAAAAATGCACAACACTCATAACTGCACATCGAACAACATTCTTCAGGCCTCCCGACAAAACAACAAGTCAAGGGCGGATAAATCAACAAGACACATAACTGACCGGGTATAACAGAGGGTATAAGAAGAAAACGCGTGCAGATTATCATTAGCCATCATCCTTGAGACAAGGATAATATACAGCATCAATGAAAAGGGTATGACGGGAAGATGCGAGTAACCGATCTCAAAGCAAGTGGACAAGACCCACAGTATAAAAAAGATGAAATGAAGATAACAAGTCAAACGGGCATCTCTTTTCATAGATCAACATCACCAGATCACCGCAACGCCGAATCGCATGTGCCGGCCATCGCCATCTCATTTTGCTTCTAATAACCGGACCATCCCAGAGGAGTCCCGGACTGACCGGGTTGCGGGTGACCGGGCTGCATGGGGCCAGCCGGAGGCCATCCCGGCATAGCACCGCCAGCGCTCATTCCCATGGCCAAACCAGGCTGCTGGGGAGTGCCCGCCATGAACTGCTGACCTCCAGGACCCTGCGTCGAAGGATACATGCCTCTGGCGGCAGTCACTGCTGGATACGGAGCAGCCGTGACACCAGGGAAACCCATAGATGCCATGGGCTGTTGTTGAGGCGCCTGCTGAGGATGCATGGGAAAGTTCTGAGGCATCGGCGGCGCCGAAGGTCGGGGTTGATTCCGAGGAGACTGCGAATGCTGCTGCTGCTGCGGCATGGAGTGTGCGAGCGGCGACGGTGACTGCTGCGTATGCATTTGCGACGGAAACTGGGGCATGCCGACGCCCTGAGGACCAGCGGCAGAGAGTGGAGAAGGTTGCGGCTGGGGTGGTGGTTGTCCCCACATCTGTTGCGCTTGAGAAGGATATCCGTAAGGTCCAGGCGGCTGAGGCGTCCCGGTAGCCATGGCAGGATTAGACCTTTGGTGCATCAATTCGGGCCGAACGGGGGGAACGCCCCGAACAGGGGATTGTGCGACAGGTGGCTGCTGATGAGCCGCAGGCTGCTGGAAACCTGACTGGCCAGGCATGATCGGTGCCTGATGGGAAAGCATGGGCTGCTGCGACTGAGCCGCATTCATCATTCCCGTGGACGCCATCTGTGGCGACTGCAAGGGCTGTGACACGGACGGTGTCGAATCCAGTTGACCAGGCTGGGACTGCGCCGCAGAAACAGGCACCTCCCGTTGCTTGGCGTAAAAGTCGTCCAAGCCCTTCTGGCGATAACTCCGTTGTGACGTTAGGATTTTGTTAAATTCGGCCGTGTGTGAAGCCTGGTTGAGGATTTCAGCGGCCGAGCTGGGTTGAATGCGATCCTGGAAAGGCTGGCCCGTCAATTCCTGACGCGGGCGAGGCATACTGTTATACTCCCGCAGCCGGGGATCATCGGTGGTGGTGGCCATGTGGATCATAGGGAGTGGCGGCGCAAGAGAAACCGAGGACGGCGGACCTAGAGGCAGGCTACCTGGCACAGATTCCAGCGCATTGCTGTAGATGACATCGCCATGAGTGAGGGTGGGTAGAAAGTTGGCTGCGCCCGCAGCTTCTGCTGCCGCCGCATCCCGGGCTTTCGCGCCGCCGGGTCGTTTCTCACCGGCCAAATCATCCTCCGTAAATCCTTGTTTCCGTGCTTTGCTCTCCCAGTAGTCGTCGCGGACGCGCCGCCCATTGACAATCACGCGGCTGCCGAACTGACGGAACATCGACTTGGCCGTCACGATAGCAATCTGGCGCGAACGATACGAGTAGGGTAGGATATCCTGCTGGATGAGATCATCCTTCTCGATCTGGCTGGCGATGATCTTGTGCAGCGAACGGTTCTTGTTGAACAAGAGATACGAGTCGCGATAACCCAGCACCCTTGCGCATTCAGTCGCAAGCATGAAAAGCTTATTCCCACGCAGAGGAACGCGGAACGTGCGACACTTGTACTCTCGGCCTCCTTGAGGGTAGCCCATGGCATCCACCTTCTTTTCACCTGCCTCGTCGAATTCCTTGGGAATGTATTCGTCGCCTTCTTCGTTCAGCTGGTCGGTCGTATGATCCCGGACGGTAGGTAGGGCCTTGACGAGCGTAGACTTGGTAGGCGTAGTCTTGTCCGGCGGAGACGCTTGTGGCGGCGATACATTGACGGCAGCTTGCGCCGGCAGAGGCTGAGTCTGCAACCGGGGTGTCTGAAGGTGAACATTGGAGGGAGTCTGATCGCTAGGGGTTGTCGCAGACGGACGCGGAGTCTTGGGAGGACGGCCTCGTTTCCGACGGCCCTGTTCATCTATTGTTTTGACCGAAGTGGTCCACGCGTCAGCCATCTTGATCGCCAGGCGACGTTATACATGCACGTGGACGGAAGGGTAGGAAAAAGCAAAAGCGCGACATTCAGATAGCAACAACAACAACAACGCGCGAGGGGGAACGCGAATGCCAAGAAACTCCCATGCTTCCGGAATTCCACGAAGCGAATCGTGAGAGGACTCCGACGCACACATACCGTCGTCATGGTCTCCATCCGCGCGTGCATTCCCGCGCTGGTCTGGGGTCCGACTTCGCTTCACACCACGAGGAGCTATACTCGTTGGGGTCGCAATGCCACCATATGTTGTTGGGGTTGGAAGCACTACGGCGACTAGTAGAAAGCCGTCAGTTTGGAGGCTGTCACGATGGACAAGCAAGAGTGATAGAGAAGTATTTTTGAGCCTCCATGAGCGGCGACAGACACGTCCACCGTCAAAAGCGCGGCAGCGAATAGGAACATTGATGTGGGAAAGGGAAAGTAAAAAGAAATGACAGGAACGAAACAAGGGGGAGGGGGAGGTGTAGTGGAATGAAAGTGAACACAAAGACAAGCGAGCGGGAACACAAGCAGGCAAACAGACAAAAACCTGAAGGAAGAAGAAAGCATCAGTCACATACCATTATTCAGGGCAGCGGGATTGATCGTCCCCGACCCATCAACAAGCTCCCCTCCGATGCCATTCATCGGAGCGGGAACAGAGGATTGAGGAGTGCTGTACATGGCGGGCCAAGGAAGGACGGGAAAGAGGGTGGCGTGGTGTGGTGGGTGGTGATGGTGGAGGGCACCGTCGCAAGGTTGCGGGCGCGTTAGAGACACGCGAAGAAGATCAGGATGCCAAACCGGGAGGGGGGAAGAAGATGGCGACCTGGTTGGCTACTGCGATGAAGGAGGGCGAAGCTGCGACGATGCAAGTGATCCTCGGACAGATAAAAAGCGGACGGACCACGGCTCGCATGCAGTGGGAATTTGACTGGTAGGTGGCAGGAAGCGGATCAGCGGAAAGGTTTGAGCAAATCGGTGCTTTGCAGACTGGGGTGGTGATGGTTTGGGGGGAAGCGAAGTTCAGATCATGAAGGCGGTGAAGGGGGATAGTAAAATGAATGAGAATGACAAGCAGGCAGGCAGGCAGACGACAGACAGGCAGCGCACGGTCGGGAAAAAAGAAAAAAAAAAAACAAATTTAGATAAAGCCAGAGCAGAGAAGTGATAGAAGTGATAGAAGGGAACAGCAATAACCGTCACAAAGTAGAACAAGGTACAAGACAATAAGCTGCAGAGAAAGCACAGTATGGTGTATGGTGGATTGGTATGGGGGAGAGTGAATATGTGGCTGGTGAGGGAAGGGAAAGCTAGTATTGCCAGGACCACCGACGGCGCCACATGAGGCTGTGAACTCCTTCCTCTTCTCAGGTCCCCTCCACGATCGATCGGGTATCCCAAGGTTTCCCTGTCTGCAGAAAAGCAGCGTCACCCACTAAGAAGAACTAGCAGCGGGCGGTTACTATGCCGGAGACAGGGAGATGGGCAGTGGATGATTCACAGCGTGCCGCCGATGGAACCGATCAGTGGGGACCGTTGACGGGGGGAGTTAAGCTATGTGTGACCGGCCGCCTGTGAGTCTGTGGTGTGTGCGTGGGTAATGAAGTGTGTGTGGTATGTGAGTAGTATGTGAGTGTAAGTTGGAGAGGGGGTGGGTTGTGCGTGCGTGCGTGTGCCAGACCCGGTCGCAGTTGGCGATTGGGTTAGAACCACGACGGGCAGGACAGGGCAGAGCAGTGGGGTGGGGAAGAAAGTTGGAGACTCGACTGGGAAGGGGGAAATGGAGGGGGAAGGGAGGGAGGGGGGAGAGGCGCACCAGGAAAATTAGAAGCAGTGACAAGAGATGGAGAGAATGGATAGGATGGGATGATTGATGATTGATGATTGATGATGATGAAAGGAAAAGTGAAAGAAGGATTTAGTTCGAGAAGGGGAGGGGGTGGAGAGTGGTAGGAGTGGGTGTAGGAAAGGGAAAGGTGGGTGGAGGAGGGAGGATTTGGTGAAAGGAACGGGAGACTTGGATTCGAAGAGAAGAAACACAAGAACAAGAAAAGCGAAGGGAAAGGGAGGGGGGGGGGAACAGCGCCAGGCAATAATCCCGGAGTGGAAACACCGGGTGATAGGAAATCCAAAACTGGGGAGGGGAAATGAAGGCGGGAGGCGGCGCCACCACCCTTTTGATTGGCTGCTGCTGCTCGGGTCACGATATGTTCCCAGTCCAAATCGGGGATCGTCGCCGCAACACCACCGAAACACAACAGATAGTTGCAGATTCACGGTGGATGAAGAAAAGACCACAATAAATTGCAGCAACAACAAATAAGAAACCAAAGACAAAGATATCAACGGAAAGAGAAAAAAAAAATAGTAGTAGATAAAGAAGCGCAAAACCCCAGAGATCTAATCACTTACAGGATTCTTCACGAACCTTCGACACAGCAGCAACGACGATCAATACACCGTCGTCCTCAGACCGACTCACTCACTGACCTCCCGAGTCCAGGCTCGATCTCGTTAGCTGATCCCAGATACTACTACTTCTGCTGCTGCTTTGCGATGCGGCCGGCATGTGGATAGTGGATGGCCGGGTAGCGCGGACGCACGTCCGGAGGACCAAGCAACTTAGTCGGAAGATAGTCCAGGCGACACTGGACTGGACCCCTGCACGTCTGGCGCCCCGATCCTCCGATTTGGTGGCAGCTCGGCAGCTGCAGTGTTGCTGAAATTTAAAAATAAGAAAAGGCAACAAAAAACAAGAAAGTCCAAGAAAAAGAGCCTTCAGACTCGCGGAAAATACTCGCAACGAAGACGAATCGGAGTGGACTGAGAAGCGGCCCGCGTACGCAACTGCAGCAAAAGAGAAGGCAGAGTGCTGCTACTGCTGCTGCTGCTCCTGATAACGGGGACTGTGTACACAGTAAAACAGATCGCGATCGATTGCGCGGTTAAGCCTGGGATGATGGAATCCCGACCGGGGAATGTCCTATCACAGCTTCAGGTAATATGTTCCTCCAATGAGACAATGTTTGTCTGTGGAAACAATCACCGGCAAAAGTGAAACGGCAGGGGAATGTTACGGAGCGCCCTGCGTAGAGTGAGGAATTCCTGGTATTAGTCCGGCTCAGGCAGCCTAAAATCCCACCCAAAAAAGCAATATATCTCAACCACAATAATCTCAATCAACAATCAACAAATAATTGTCTCGCTGGCCGGAACTGAGAACCAGAGCGGGGCAATCCTTGGATCGAGAGCCGGAGACAGCCGCCGCTGGGGCCGAGAGCAAAAAGCGATAGTAAAGTAAATACGGAAAAAGGTGGTCAGCCTCGGTGATAGGGTTCCGCAACCCGAATGGAACCTCTCTGTAATCTGTATGTCCGCCTGGTTCGATCTAAATTCTTCTGGACTGGACTGGACTGGACCGGCGTGTGCACACTGCACAAGCAGCAGACCACACACGAGGCGCGATAGCAAGGGCAGCGCTGAATTGAATTAACTATCAAGCTGCTTTCCGGGGATCGCGGGAAGTGGTTGGCCCTGGTTTGATTGGCCGGACTTTAAAGAAACTGGAATAAAAGCACATGAAAATTACCCGAATAGGCTGGTCTCCCTAGTGGGTTGTCGGGAGTAGATGCGCAGCGGATACGCGGTGCCAAACCTGGCAACGAGAGAGACAGACAGACAGAACTGAAGAAGGCTGCGCGGCGTGGACGAATCATCCAGCACACCGGGCCAACTGCTATCGTCAGGGCTGCCAATCGTCAGCGACAGCGCCGGAGGGTGAAGGATATCAGTCCTGCTCTTTGGTCAGTTCCAGGCCAACTAGTACTAGCTTTTTCGACTGCTGCACGTTTTGTTCCGAGGTTAGACGGGAGTTCAAGCCTTTGTCTGGCTGTCTGCAAGAAGACCAACCCCGTCGACTACCACGCAACTCCTTTGGACTTACTAAAAAGACAACTGGATCGCCCGGAAGATCCCCTCCCCGGTCGTAGAAGGCAGAACCCTGCGGGGGACACCTATCTAATCCTTGAGTGGCTTGATGGATGAGGATGATGGAGGGGGCCGAAATTCGGAGGGAATGACTCGTCAGATGGAGGGGGGTGCGAGCGTGCTTGAGCGCGCGAGGTGAAGAAGCGGGCAGGAGAGGGGCAGAAGAAAAGAGAGAAGAGCAGCAAAAGGAATCTGTTGTGTATATGTATATACCTACTTGGGGTTGGTACTTACTAGGCTTTCTGGATGAGGGATGAGGAAGATCCACCGGGTCAGACAGTCATTCACTCACGTCTCTCTCTCTCCCAGATCTGCCCTGAATTACATACAGACAACGTTGGAGCCGGAGTGCCGATGGACGGATGGATTTCCTGCAGCATACACAGTGGTATCTATCTAGTATCTAGACCTTCTCCCCAGGCTGATGAGATCTCTTCTCAAGACTAATCCGGCATCTCTACGATACTGACTCGAAGGGAGAGAAACAGGCAGAGTTTCCTGATTGGGACAGGGTCTCTGATGGCATCTGGCGCCATTCCCGTTCAGGACCAATCACCAGACAGGCGCTTCTCCTCGCTTTTGATTGCCTCGAGCCAAAGTCTGTCCGGTCCCGTCAGGTATTGTCACTGCCTGGTATCTGGCCCGGTGACGAATCATCTCATGCTCATGGCTGTTGAGGTACCTTCGAATGACTCCCCCAGATGAATGGAGACTTGGTCATATTCCTGTGGCGATCAAACTGTGGAATATCTCATTCCTACAGAGAAACATTGATGGTGTTTTCCCTCCCAGATACCAGTGAGTGTTGATGCATACTCCCGTCTGCACGAAGTAAGCGCAAAGCCTCCCCGGATGAAACCCCCAACGAGGCAGCCATTGAACTCCCAACCGCAAAACAAAAAAACAGCCTCAGAGGTAGGGGAGTCCCTGTCTGCAATCACTGTTATATTTAGGCTTTGTGCAACCGGACGAAAGCTTTTTTCACTGGAAAGCTTCAGGTTGAGTTCGTCTGTCTTGGGAACGACTGGCCAGAGAGCTCGAGCACATCCAGCGCCAGTAAGCAAGCAGTGGAGATAGTAGTAGCCCTGTTGCTGTTGTGTCCAGGAACTCCTGCGTGATCATCAGCAGAACGAGGCAACAAACTGGTATACTTTTTTGTTTATCTTTTTTGACTCATTCGGTAGGGTTACGCCAGTCATGCAGAATGCAATCGGAACAATCCCAGGCCGGAGTCCAGTCATCTCCGACCACAACGGTTACATTTGATAATGCCCATTGAACGAGGGCTTGTAGCCGACCATGGATCGACTCCAGGAATTCAGTCCTTCCCGTGCTGAGACTGCTGAGACTGAACGGTCATTGCTCAGGAACTGTCATCATTCCTGTGGCTTTCCAGTGTTTGATCCTTGGGACTTCAGCGCCAAAGGGGGCACGAGGCACGGAGAGTGGTGGAGGGGAAAAGCAGAGGGCAGATGACCCAGTCGGACTGGAAGGTCACGAGCGCGGGCGCTAGGGTCGATCAGGGACCGTGCGTCATGCCGACCGTAACTTTACCGTTCAGTCAGTCACTTTGGTATCTTCTCTTGCCTTCCGGGGCCAACCTTCATCCATACTTACTCTAGGGCCAGATGCATCATATTCAATAGAATGGCAACATACTCACTTACTATCAGTAGAGATAGACTGATTTGATGCATGCAACATACAAAGCACATATCAACAAAGTTTGAGACTAACCAAAACATCTCCATCTCCATCTCCATCCCCACTCCTACCGAGGCCCTCTCTCACTCGCTCACAAATCAATTCCTTCAAAGTGGCAAAAAGTACATACTCTATCCCCTGTAACCAGCAAGTATATCAGCAAGTAGATAATCTAGAAAAAACACTGACTGACTCGACTCAGAGCAACCCAACCACCACAAACCCCAGATCTCCTACCCATGACCAACACATCGGGAACCATGCATAGCCGTCCAGTCCAAACCTCAATCCTCACGAACGACCATCTTATAAGTATTATCTGCAGCCAGCATCTGTTATCATCAAGCTGCTGCTGCTGCTGCTGCTGCTACTATAACCCGCCCCGCTAGTATCTGCCATAGAAAATCGACCAACATAAACGGGTCGGCTCAATTCAAGCTTTCCCGTTTGCATGCAGCGTCACCTTCATCTCGCTTCGCACCAACAAGGACCGGAGACATGTAGGGGAATCAACGTACACTAGCAGTTGAGTAGTAACGTTCGAATCAAATCAAGAATGGACAGACCAGGCTGCATCACGCCAAGCCCGGCCAAGTCCCTCCAGACAAGGAATCGGCCTGCTGCATGTCATCAGCAGGACACTTTGCCATAGCTCCACTTGCAGATGCTAGGCTGAGTAAAAGATAGTGGTAACTATACCTGATGGTATATTCTGTATGTATTAGCTGCGACAGTAGATAGCGATATTATCGGGACCATGATTATCTAGCCTAATAATCTATTCAAAATGTACTATGATCACTGACTGAATAGCATGTAGTGTATACTAATCAACAAACCGGCTGACTTTAATCCGGTTACACACATGCTCATCCTATCCTAACACAGAATATACCCTCTATCTATTACTAGTACCACACAATGCATATCATTACACAATGTCCTCCACAATGCAGCACAGCATAGCCCCCGTTCTTTATACCTCAGTCACTAGACAAGATAACCCAACTCTCAGCTAAGAACATAGACAGATGTCATATACTGAACTTAATGACAGATTTAATCTGAATCTTCAAGCTCATATATACTACCATAGAGTCAATATCCTACACCGAGTCAGATATAGCAGAAAAAAAACATAGCAAGGACAACTAGTACTAGTAATGAAGAGTAATAGCTTTGAATGGTAGTAGGCACTATTAAGCACTGAAGTCCGGTGGCATGGTCGGTCAGGGTGGTGTAGTGACACATCCTGGTTGACACAGAAGAAAAATCATATAAAAGTAGGTGAAGCCCCATTCATGTCTATAATGAAAGTATAGTAAATACAAATCCGGAGGCAAACAAAAATCTAGACCATATTAGAGAAACGGTGATAACACTAGACAGAAACCAGAAAAATCACAGAATACGGTTCTTATTTGTGATAAATATTAAGTTTCTGCGGATTTTGGAGGAAATCTCTTCTTCCATATCGTGTTTTTTTATCTATAAGTGCAGTGACGCTACAAGCTGGAATGCGACTTTTAAGTGTAGAACTATATAGTAAAATACTACCTATAACCTAGTCATTAACCTCTGCATAACTAGTAACTAGGTAGTAGCCACCTAACAATACTATTGTAGTCTTGACTGGAGCACAATACAACCATTGATCAATCATTCAAACAGACATTAAATCCGTATATCTAGTCGTAATAACGTCTCAACCAAGATGATTTCGATTCCACCTCGCTGTGTGAAGAAGGGGAGGAAGATTCAACGGTAATGCGGATGCTCCCGGTTAGAGAGGTGGATCTCTCGTAGCGGTCGAGATGATTTTCAATGTTACCATTATGATGTTGGGCCATCAGGTCAGGTGGAGGTGGAGATGGGGATGGAGAGGGATAGAAAATAATGGTGGGTTCTTGTCGGATTTGTGGTGATGAGAAAGGTGATGCCCGTGATGGGGACATTTTATACATCGTTTGGGCTATAGTCAATATAAGTGGTTTCTGTAGGTGCCACCGTGTGTGGCATGTTGTATGATACTAATGAAAGGTATATGATAATGAGTGTAAAGGGATGCTAGAGATATGTATAATGATGGAGTACTCTGTGGCAACTAGTAGGTAATGTTCAACTTACGTTGACTGAGATTGTGGTTAGGTTTAAGAGGTAGTTTGATAGGGAGAACCAAGGGTAGGAAGGGACTGTTTGCCACTCTACTAGTAATAATCGTTCAAAGCAACATTATTACCTAGCGTGCGAACTTGTGATATGTAGTAGATATGTAGTTAAGGGTCTATTTGGATATCTTGCTATTTACTTATATAGTTATTGATCTATCGAGGTAGTATGTATTATCCTGTGCATAGTGGTATCCTATCATATTGGTAGCTAGATATAAAGGAACTGCCCCCAAGTCAGTGGGTTCTAGGTTGAAAGTCCTCAATAAGACTGACACTCTCAACTGCGTTTGCTAAACATGTTATCTTTGAAGGCGTATCGTGTGGTGCTGATTTATGAGACGCTCTCAAGTGTCAGAAGCTGCTATAGCTCGAGCTATACGAAGTGATTCAGGCAATGGGCGGGGTTAGAGAGGCAATTATCTACTAATTGTGAAGGGCCTAGTTTCTGTGCTTTTTACGAATGCACAGTAAGTACAAGGTCATCAGAAATATCATGCTGATTGACCTTCTACTGAGGTTAGTCTATAGTCGGTCGTTGTAGCAAAGTAAGTACCGTTGTATCTTAGAATTTATGGTGTGGAAGTAATGAGGTGAATATCAATGACCATGGTCGTACATATGACTTCCAGTAACATATATAGTGTGCAATTAAGGTGGCTAAGAAAAATAGGGTTAAGTGAAATCAACACGTACTGGTGGCTATAACTCTCCACGCTGTGGCAGAAACTCGTCATATGCATATATGCGCAGAAGAGCAGTTGCCTACAGGTTAGTCCGCATGTGTGGTTGTCGTGTAATAGCTGCTTCAGTACACCTACACCGGGCCATTGACATAACGTTGTTTTTTCCCTCTGCTGGGCAATTTTCAGAGACTCGGGACAGTTGTCACATCTTGATGATAGGGCACGAAGGAATGCAGGGATGAAATGCCATCTTTGTCCGCGGGAGTGTCCGATGACCTGAGGTATGTGCATTCTCAACCTACTCGGCATACCAGACTCTATGAAACTGGAACAGCTAGCGAAAGAAAGTATACCTGTGAGGACAGCAATCCATCGCAAGTCACGGTAAGTTCTCGGGCGTGGCTGAGCGAGAGAATTTGACTGATTGGCCAAGCTCGTGGTTCAATCATGCCATATGGCGTGATGTCAGAATGGATGACAATGACAGTATTGCACTGCAATTTACCCGGCGTCCAAAGCGAAGGTAGCTCGTATCTCCGTACCTCTGACCTAAACGGTCACATACAGACAGGCCGCCCGTCCTAATTGTACGTCCAACTAGGAAACGCATCTAATCATGTTAGCCAGGCTGTTGAAGGCGAGGACGCCACGTAATGTCGCTGTTGTTCGCAGACCGCGCACACCGACAAGGGTGAATTTCTCCGCGCATGCTGACACGTACACCTTTTAAACCAAGACTGACGTTCCAATGAGAACACTTTTTATCGTGCCATTCGAAGGGTAGTCTTATCAGCGCCAGGAAAACCATCTGGTGTTTAATTGAACCAATTTGCTGAGGGTGCCACCTTATGGCACCTTGACGACATGAGCGTAGATTGACTGATATTATGCCCTGCACTAAGCATGGACTCGCGATGCCTGCCCTGTTAGCTACATTTTCCACCAATTCACCAGCTCAAGTAGGCCAAGATCTAGGTGCTGATGTTGCATATCAGACAGGCAGTATTGGGTCTGAAATTATGACAGCATAGCACGAGCATTGCTGATATCCCTGAACACCGCGCCCAACCAGCACTTTAGCTCTGCATTCATCGACTGGTCTGCAGCAACTGAAGTCATGAGTCAATATGGAACCACTGAACGGTACGTCAGGTTGTATCCCACGTCAGGATATCACACCAACAGTGTATACGATAAATCCGTTGTGCTTTGTTAGCAGAAAAAGGTATTCGGCTAGCAATCATCATCGCAAAGATCTTTAACTGGGCAATGAAACTCTCAGATAAGCCCACCATGACTTCAGCACATGTCGTGGTTCGACACAAACATCATGACGAAGACCACCGGTTTCAGAGAGGCGAATCGACAGAGCACCACCGATAAATGACACAATCATCTCACGATCGACGCTATTGTGATGCAGGACCAATAGAATCACCACGAAGTACCCCGTAGCAGCCCGTAGCAGCCCCGTTATCAGGAGAGCTTAACTGAACGACATCCGTCATCACCCACGAGAATTTCCCGGGGTCAAGTGGCGGGAACAAACGGGACGTAACCATCCGGCCGTCACTCGATAGAATGGCATTCTTGGGAGTGCATTGGCCAACCCTCGGCTATCATGATACCTTGACTCGTCTCTTGCGAAGAGAGCTCCCCCGGTTTCGGGACTATGAGTCACTGGCCTTGTGTTGTCGGGGAAGTCAGTCCCGAAGCTATTTACCCCAGATGGAGAAGAGCTGGAGGATGTCCTTTGCAGTTCCGAATCTTCTCCGTATCTACCGAGGTCGGCGGCGGCTAATCAGTAGACCCTCCTGGACACCCGACTATTGATAGATCAACTCCCACTATGGAAGGGCAGCGTGCACAGTCGCAGGCTATCACGTCCGCTAGACGACCCACGGCGGGGCAAAAGTACGAGAGCAGCGAGCGAGGCAGTGGTAGAAAGGGAAATAGAGCAGAGATAAGCTCAAGGCGTACCAGAGAGTCATTGTGTCATGTCAAGTCAATGGAGAGGACCTCCACAATGAACAATGGATGAAGTCATGAAGGTGATTGTGCCAGGGAAACCAACTGGAAGCGCGAGTCTTGACATCATGGCCGGCGGTGGTCTGGCGGGTTCTCGGCCTTGGAAGGGAAACAGCTTAGTCAGGGCGCGAGGTTGATAGTTCAGCCGCTACACCAGACCGAGCCAAGTTTGATTAGTTTGATTAGTCTGATTTCGCTAGTTTAGTTTCAAGGTGAACTCTTTCCTGTTTCCCCGTCCCTCGGGTGACTAACGGAAATAATTTTACCGTCCCCTCGGTTGCTCAGGAGAAAGAAGGGGAGAACAGTAAATCCGTCGGTGAGAGGGGGGGAACAACATTAGACTAGAAGGTCGCCAGATGAATCTGAAACCAACGCGTGTCCAGCTGATCACGCCTTAATAGATTGACGGTTTATTGCTTACGAAGGAATGGATTAATTACTCCGGGCTCCAATCCCCCATACTAAAGGAGGTGATCATGTGCGTTTCCCGACTCCACGGTCCACAGCCCTCAAATCCACTTAATCCGGCCTAGTGTTTCCCCTGCAACCCTAACTGCCCAAGCCCACACTAATCCCCAAATTGGTCAAGTGTTACTGTGTATAGCATTGCACACTAGTCCTAGATAGTTCACGACCCCGCAAGTCATGGCCAATCAGAGTAACAGGCCCTGTCCATCCCTTACCGTTCCTACTGGTAGGGTGTTCGTCTCCAGATTTCTGGAGCTGCACATGGCTTGGTCGCGTTTGCAATAACCGTATTGCATCCATCCGACAGAAACTATGATATGAAAGAGAGATCTTGGGGTTGGTTGGGGTTCGTTCGGGGAGAAAGAAGTGTGGTGGTAGAGAGTTGTAGAAAGACGAGGACTGAACTCTGTTTGCGACAAAGGGGAGTTACTGGCCGCGAATGGCAAGAACTTGGAAAACGGAGGGCATTTCCCAGGAATCGTGAGGGCAGCCAGACTGGGCGGACGACCCCCGGCGTCGAACATTCCACGGATTGCCGTCAGACCCGGACCCACTGGAAAGGTCAGCTGCCCGACCAGTTTTGCCAGTGGAGTCGAGTCGAGGCCCTTTTCTTTTTTAAATTTCTGTCCTGCTCGCTGCTCTTTCTCCCTGGTAACGTCTGGGGAGGGGGGCTTACTGTATGTACACTCTGGCTGACTGACTGACTGACTGACTGACTGAAAGGACTGGCGGGACCGGAGTCTTTCCTCTTATTCCCTTTCGGTCACATACCAGAATCTTCTTTTACCTATCATACGCAGTTTTCCCCCTCCTCCCCGGAAAGGTTAAAATATGATTGATGTAAAGTGGAAACAAAGTTAAGCGATACATAATAAAAAATGAAAAGTCATCCCATCATAGAATCATCACGAGATGGTAGACTACGAAAGAGAGAAGAAAAATGAGATGGACAGCGTGGGCGGCCACGGTGGACTGACTGATTAACTGACTGACCGATACAGGCAGTACACCATACAGTATACACTATACAGTAGTAAACTAAATCGTGGTACGAGTCTAGACCCGGGGATCAACCGCTTGCAGAATCTGCCAGATCAGATGGTCACCAGGACGGCTTTCTCTTTTGGGTTTTCCGTCGGTCACGATCCAGCCAAACCCAACCTTTCCAACTCTTCACTCTCTTTCCCCCTTAAGCCTTTTTTCCTCCCCTCCACTCGTTTCTTCTTATTCTCCTCTTCTCCTCTTTCTCTTCCCCTCCAGATTCTTATTTCCCCAAACCTTCACCCCCTCCCTCCACCACTGGGCAGTCGCTCCCACTTCTTCTCCAGCTGACTGCCTATTACTATTCCTGCGCCGTATAACTATCACTACTCCCATCCATCCAGTCATCCTATAAGCAATTGCTTCAATTCAATTGACTTGACTCATCACCACACTACACCCATTCATACCACATCAGTAGCAATTAGACTACTAGACTGTCATCACAATGGCCGTCACCGCCATCGATATCATGCCCAAAAAGCCCTCCTCATCTCCTCTCTCCTCCAACAACCCCTCCATGAATAAGCGCTTGCCCCCTCTGGCCGACAGGACCTCCCTTTCCTACAAACTCACCACCCTGTCCCGTCAGAAACTCGCCCGGGAGGCCACCGCTCCCGACCCGGACATTCGTCGCTGCCTTGGTCACTTCCGTCTGCACTGCATGTCCATGGAATGGACCCAGAAGGACATGTCGACGCGCATCAACTCGTTCGACCTGGAGGATGACGAGTCCGAGAGTGAGGAGGAGGACCGCGACGATGAAGACAAGAAGGGTCCCGAGGACCGCAAGGATGAGGACCAGGACCGCCAGTCCTCTTCCAAGAACAACGAGTCGGCTGAGAAGACCTCGGAGCCTGAGAAGACTACCGTCCAGGTTACCTTCCATGTGTCTGCTCCTGCATCGGCCCCTCAGACATCTACCGACAAAGAAGAGAAGGAGGAGAGCCTCCTCGAAAAGGGTCGCAATTGTCTCGAGAAGACCGTCCAGAGGAAAAACTTCTGGCCTTCTCCTGGCCAGTGCCTGCCTGTGCGCATTGCCGGCTGAGTCGCTATAATGCGACACATTTCATTCTACCTATCGACATTCTCATCTCCTCGCCACATCCCATCTCATTCTTACAACTCATTTCTTCACCACCTACCACCAACATCAACACCACCACACCGAAACACATAATTCTAATAATCCTCCCTTACGATGTCAACGAAATTACGAATCTCCTACCGTCTTAATCTCATTCGCTCATACATACTTGGCGGAGTCAACAAGCGACTCACTGATTGGTTTTACTTTGCTAGCTTGGAGTTGGTGCGAAGGTTAATCAGTATTACTATCATCATCATAACATCATCATCGGAGTTCAACCATGTTAGAAGGAATACGGAAAGGGAAAGCAAAAAGGAAAGGAACCTTGGAACGGATAACCAACATGTATTTAGTTAAAAGCACAACAATTGAATTAAACTACCCACATCATATCATACCATTATCCCAACATCTAAACCTACAGTAATATGTAAGGAAATACATAGCCACGTATATCCCCCAATCACCCAATGCAACCACCTAATTACAATCTTCACTCTGCAGACCAAACCGATTAAAAGTAATAAATTCGAAGCAACCAACCTAGCAACCAACCCAGCCAGTAGATACCGTAGGTAGTAGTAAGTAGTGTATACTAACCCTGCAGGGGTGTATCCCTGCACCTGCATTTGCATCAACAGTAGTAGCATCAGCAGCAGCAGCATTAATACCCTACCTTACTTCCCTGTCTGTCTACCTTACCGTCTCACCTAATTAATCTATCTATAAACAAGTAATTAACCAGTCACAACCCTAGAAACTATCACACCCATGTGATTACTATCTATCTATCTATCTTACCATTAGGCATTCATCATACATACATACTACTATACAGTAATCCTGATACCCAACCATACGCACATACACACATGAAGAAAAAAAGAGAAGGGAAAGAGATGTGGCAACCCGCCACGCGGCCCAGCAAACATACACAGTACATACACACATACAAACATACATACATACGTACATACCTAGCATGGCGTGATCTGCTATGCACAACCACGACTCACTCACTCACGATATCATCACCCATGACTAAATTAGGAAGGTAACGCGATACCCCAACCTGGATCTATCCCCATCATCATCATAATCATCATGGAGGCGAAAAAAGTAATTGTCGCCATCATAATCATGCTACCACCACTGTTGTTTCTGATTTTTCTCCTTGATGACGATTAATGAGTCATAGGTTAACTGTGTAATAACTAATTGAGTTGTGTGGGTGTGTGTTGGGGTTGGGGTTGGGTTTGTTGCCACCAAACGCGAGCGGATAATGAATGGGTCGGTCTGGTTGGTAATGAGTTTACTTAGGGTAGGGATTGGCGTTGCGGCGACATCATTAGCATCATTCATCATTCAACATTCATCCACGTTTATCATCAGGTTTGGGTTGGGGAAAGTACTACTGTCTACTGATTACTTTTTGGGGTAATAGATTAATTGTTCAGTTGTACTTTTGTTGTCTGGGGAGGTATTGCATAACGGATGATTTAAATGCGGATTCTTAGTATACTATGATGCTAATTTAGTTTGTTTGCATGCATATGTTCTAACCATTATTCAATTCCAACTCTGGGTATTTATGTTCTAACTACTAATTAACATGCAGACGCCCGCTAACTCATACTCAACAATCAAGAAGAAGATAAAAATGTAAAACGCCACTATGCAAAGTCATCATCATCATCCCACCCCAATTGTGCGTAGATTGACTTCTCCGGCGTCACAGGCACAGTCGGAGCAGCAGTCGGCACGGCTAATCGGGCGGCACTTGCACCCTTCACAGGCGTAGCAAAGACATTGGCCTTAGCCGGGGTGGTAATAATTGTGGTCGTGGCCTTCACAGGTGTCCCTGCCACTGCCGCCGGCTCAGTGGCTGTAGGAGCAGAAGGAATCGAAAAAGCAGGGACCATGGCCGGTTTCGGAGGCGTTTCCATGATCGTGGACGGCTTGCTTGAGCCGATAGAATTGACTCGGGGCATGTAGGCGTCCACGTGTCGGGCTGCGATCGGCGTGGTTGGACCCTTTTCAGTGGCCCGAAAGGCAGGAGGAACAGGGGCAGGGACTGAAGTTGGGGCCGGGGCTGGCTTGCTGGGGACGCGGAAAAGGGGTCCTGAGATTTTTCTCTTCGGCGATGCGCTGATATCAGCTGATGATAGAGGCTGAGTTGGTCGACGCGTGGGCGTTTCCTGGATCGCCCCGTCGTCGGCAGATCGGAAGAGCCCTGAATTTGAGGGTCGGATATTAGAGCCGGGAACAATTTGCGGCTCGCTTGTGAATGGGGAGGATGAAGATCCCTGGGGTATGAGAACTGGTTGGGAGAGACTCTTTGGAAGAGGAGGCATGTCTGCCATGGCGTCTTTCTTGCGACTGCCTTTGGGCGTGGCAGCCACCTGCACGCCTTGGCCGTAAGGGTTGCGCACTGGGTTCTTGGGCTTGCGTGAGCTGCCGCCGCCGGTCGACAGTCGTTTGCTGGCATCTTCGGCGATATCTTTGGCTACAAGCTCGCGGTTTGGTTTGCGCAAAGCATGAATGGCCGCGTCGAGCTCTTTCTTCTGGTCCACGAGCATCTGCATCTTCTTGAGTTTAGTCTCATGCTGGCGCGCAACGGCGTTGAGATCCACTTCGCGATTCTCCACACGCTTGGCTTTCTGGATCCCGCCACGCACGTTGGCACTGACAGTGGGGAGTAAAGGATCCAGAGACTCTCGTCGGCTTTCAGTCGGAGCCGGGGTTGTATTAGACCGACTGAGTGATGGGGGTTGTCGAGTCTGGGACGGTGCCTGGTCTGTCAACACGCGCTGGAATGCGCGACGACGGGACTTCTGAGCGTGCTGTCGTTCAACAGGCGTTCCTGGTTCTCGGGGCGTCTTCTTCGTCTGAGGCTGCTTTGTGAAAGGCGAGATTGCAGTTGAGACGCCAAGTTTGCGAGTAATCAGCTTGCACTTGTCCGGCAGACGAGATGCGTAGAACGGGACAATGACCTCCGTGCAGAAATCGCGGACAGCATCACTTTCAACCTTCTTCCCAGATAGATGGTTGGTCTTGGCCGAGTCCGGGACCACTGTCTCCTCGAAGCTAACGGCGTGCCAGATGCACAGTCGGTCGAGATGGAGCTCAAGCATGACATTCAGGTCCTGGGGCTTTTTGCCTTTGGCGGTTTTCGTAGGCTTGTCTGCGCGCTCGCCATTACCCTCACGCTTCTTCTCATCCGCGATGATCGCCTCCAAAGCCATAGTCTCAAGAATCAAGAGAATCTGCAGTTGCGTTTCGCGCAACCGCAAGTCCGCAATATGCTTCTTCGATTCTGCATCCCTGGACATCTCGGACGGAAGCCCTTGATCATTAAGTGCACGATCGCGCCACCACTTGCGTATTAAATCACTTTCCTCCGGATACAGCCCATTCTTGCCAAGTTTCTTCTTGGTGCTCCTGCGCTTCCGCTTCGGCGGCGCAGCCTCATCATCGGAAACACTCAGCAGCAGATCTTGAACCGTAGTCGGCAGAGTCTCACGATACTTGTGATCCATTCTCTTTGCCGTAAGAATAGCCTCTCTGTAGAACTCGACCAATTGGGCTGGTTTCCCAGACTCATTGTCCGAGGACTGGAATGCCGCGCGACAACGCGCCAGAGGGCCTTTGGCAAAGTAAGCCACGGAAGTCTGTCATCAACTATTAGCATTGCTCCACCGTCTCGGAGCACAAGCGCAGTCACTCACCTTCGACACATACAACGCCTGCAGATACTGCTCCCGCAGCCCATCCAACAGCTCCTGCGGCGACTGCGTTACCTCCACATCCTGCTCTTCAGCAGCAGTAGCAGCAACATCACCACTCTGCTCCCCAACACCCAGCAGCACAGGCCCCTCCGAACCCTCATCACTGCGCAACATTTCATCCTGTGTCTCTCTGGCATCACTCTCAAACACATGTGCAAAAATGACCTCCACATCCGCAGCACCCCGTCCCCTCTTCCCAAGCACAACCGGCTCCGGATCCTCAATCTTCGCAACCTCCCACCACTCCCCGACCTCTTTGCTCTCTCTCCGCCGTTCCATAACAGACGAGAAAGAGAATGGAAAAGCTGAACCAGCACTCGCCTTTGCCGCAACAACCACCTCCCCTTCGCCTACACCCCGTAGCCTCATCAACGCATATACCCCCTTCTTGACGCGCTCAACCACCCATACTCCTGCCTCCCCGACAACCCGTACCGCAAGGACAGTATCCCCCACATTGTCTTTCTCAAGGACAGGGATATCCCCGACGAATACATTACACCACCCCGAAAGACCTTGAGTCTGGTTCTTATGTTCGCGCGGCTCGAAATCTATCCACGAAAAGGGAATAGCATTGCGGGAGAGGGTAGTGAGGGTTGTGAGGTGATGGTAGGGGTCTTGGTCTTCGGCGAGGGATGCGGAATGGGACTATCATTAGTACTAAGTTAGCAACATCGTCGACTTATACCATATAAGGGGAAGTGGTATACATACGCGAACACTTATCGTCTGCGGCGACTCAGAAACCGCAAAGACGTCATTATGGACATTGATATTCTCGGAATGCGAGACCTTGCGCTTCTTGAACGGATGGTTTTCGATAGATGATGTTGATAGCGAGGTACTAGTGGTATGATTCGGGACAAGATTGAGAGGGATTGGAGCGAGAATGTTGCTGCTGGGAGGTGATGTTGCTGCGGTGGTGGTGGTAGTTGCCATGGATGGTGGATGTGTGTAGGTGGACGCGTATAATGGCTAGTCTGGGTATGTATTATGAGTGCAGCATTTCGTGAATCGACAAGTCGGTATGGAGAAGATGCTGCGTGGTAGTCTTGTATGTGCAATGGGTCTTGTTAATGGGGTAACCTAGAACAGAAGTAGTAGTGGTGGTGGTAAGTCGAGGCCTTCTCTCCCTGGGGCGGTGGGTGACGCGAGTCACGTCGGCGGAGAACTGGGCGGCACGCGTCGCGGCGGAGGGGTTGCCGAGTATAGCAGATTTTGTTAAGTGCCCGCCCACGGGGATTCGCAGACCATCGGATCTATAAGACTTGAAATTTTGGAAGCTTTGGGTTGTATAGACAAGTTAAACGGAATATTATCTATTGTTCAGCGTCATGTATACGGAGTATTCCCGATGTTGCGACCGCGATAAGACTCGTATGCTCCTAACCCTATAACCCTAAGTCGGACATGACCACGGAACACTTCAGATCGCTCCACTTGTCCACTTACAATCTACGATCTAGTTACACGGCAAAACACTACTCCATGCATATGCATTCATTAATCTATGTGCTAATGTTTAGATTAGCAAATGGCGAGATATCACTCTCAAGCCATCTATATCACTCCTGTCGGAGCATCATTCGAACCCCAGTGCGTCAGGGACACGCACCATCACGCCGGATGGCACGCATCCCCCGCAGATAAGACTCGAAGTTCCTATCGGTCCTAAGCCCGGAGGAGGCAGTGTTGAAGACTTTCGCTCCCGAAAACGCCGAAACAACCCTCCCAAGGTATATGAAAAAGTGGTATCATGTTGAATTTATCCTCGCCGAACCCGTCTCTTGCCGAGAGACCATGCAAAAAGTTGAACAAACATCCAAACATAAAAGTTGCTTTTTTGACATGTCTATGCTCGTGCTTTGAGTTGTTGAAAACAAAGCAAAATCATCACATTCGTAAAGGAAACAGACTCAGAAGAGAAGCAGGTCCACAGTCATTGCGAGCGACTCGCTTAGAACTTGAGGGCCTTGGGCTTCTCCCAGGAGAATTCCTGGTTGGTGAAGTGACCGTTCTTGGCGGTCTTGAAGTAGATGGGCTTGGCCAGATCCAGCTCCTTGACAATGACACCGGGACGGAGGTCAAAGTTGTCACGGATGATCTGGACGAGCTCATCGGAGGTCTTGGAGGAGGTGCCGTAGGTCTCGACGAAGATGGACAGGGGCTCAGCAACACCAATGGCGTAGGAGAGCTGGACGAGGGCACGGCGGGCAAGGCCAGCGTTGATGAGGGACTTGGCGATCCAACGAGCAACGTAGGCAGCCGAGCGGTCGACCTTGGAGTAGTCCTTACCGGAGAAGGCACCACCACCGTGAGCACCCCAACCACCGTAGGTGTCGACGATGATCTTACGGCCGGTGAGACCGGCGTCACCCTGGGGACCACCGATGACGAAGCGGCCGGAGGGCTGGAGGTGGTAGACGGTGCGGTCGTCCAGGAGGTTGGCAGGGATGACCGACTTGATGATCTGCTCCTTCAGGACCTTGCGGAGCTCCTCAGTGGAGACCTCGTCGCTGTGCTGGGCGGAGATGACAATGGTGTCCACACGGAGGGGCTTGACAGCACCGTTGTCGTGGGCGTACTCGATGGTGACCTGGGTCTTGGTGTCGGGGCGGAGCCAAGGGATGGTGCCGTTCTTGCGGGCATCAGTCATGGCCTTGTTGAGCTTGTGAGAGAGGACGACGGTGAGGGGGAGGAGCTCAGGGGTCTCATCGGTGGCATAACCGAACATGATACCCTGGTCACCAGCACCGAGCTTCTCAAGGGCCTCCTCGTAGTGCAGACCCTGGGCGATATCGGGCGACTGCTGCTCAATGGCAACCAAGACGTTGCAGGTCTTGTAGTCGAAACCCTTCTCGGAGGCATCGTAGCCGATGTCCTGGATGGCACCACGGATGACCTTCTGGTAGTCAAGCTTGGCCTGGGTGGTGATTTCACCGAAGACCATCACCATACCTGTAACGTGGGTCAGCGCACAGTCGCGATAAGATTAGATGGGTGGGGCGGGAAGGAGAAAAAAAAACTTACCAGTCTTAGTAGCGGTCTCACAAGCGACCTAACGGCAACATGTTAATTCAAGACATTCACATGCAAGGTGGACAAGCCGAATTGGAAAAGCGCCGGCCAATCAAGGGGCCAAGGGGTGCGCAAGAAAAATCCGACTCAGATAGAACCGATGAGGGGTCCGTACCTTAGAGAGAGGGTCCTCAGCAAGGCAGGCATCGAGGATGGCATCGGAGACCTGGTCACTGTTAAATTATTGTTAGCAAGACATGAACCGAGTGCGCCAGGTAGAATTGAGGTTCGACATACGCAATCTTATCGGGGTGACCCTCTCCGACGGACTCGGAGGTGAAGAGGAAAGTAGATCCGTTGGCGACGCTACCCATTGTGAAGAGTGGGGGTGGGGATATGTATAGATAGGGGGGAAGTGAAGAAAGGAGAGAGGAGACGAGGAGAGAAGAGAAGGAGGAAGATTAGGGAGGGGGGAATAGAGTAGATATTAAAGAAGCGAGAAATGTAAGAAAATGGGAGGGAAGAGGGAAAAGGGAGGAGGGGAAAGAAGAGAAAAGAAGGAGGCAGAGAGGGGAATCTCGTATTAATGTGTCTCCGATGGCGCCATCTCTTCCGGCGGTCGGACTAGGCAGAAAAAAGTAAAAAAGAATTGAAAAAAAAAAGACCCAAAGGAAAAACATGCATCGGCGGCGGATTTTGATTTGCCAACCGAAGAGATCCCCCCTCTATTGTGCTATCAGCCAATCGGCGTCTCTCTCAACGGACGACGGGCCTTCGGAGTTTCTTCAATTTCATTTTAACCTGCAAACTCGGGGTTGAATTACTCTGCGAACTACCGAAAGCTCCCTCCCTCTCCCACCTTTACTCCATCTCCAACCTGATTCAGATCACCCTTCGGATTCCGGCTCGCTTACGGGAGAATTGCGTTAATTTCCTTGGGTTTTTCCTGCAACTCCGAACCTAGTAGCAACTAGCTCCCCTCCTTGTCAGCATTCAACCCCGCGCCATACCTACGTTTTCCACCACCATTAGCTTCTACATCAGCATCAGCACCCACCAACTCAAAGTGCCGCCGTCAGCATGTCCAAATACGGCGTCCTAGTAATGGGCCCCGCTGGCGCGGGCAAAACCACATTCTGCAGTTCCATCATCCAGCACCTCCAAAATACGCGTCGCAGCTGTTTCTACGTGAACCTAGATCCCGCGGCGGAGACCTTCAACTACGAGCCGGACCTCGACATCCGCGAACTCATCACTCTCGAAGATGTGATGGAAGAGCTGGGACTAGGTCCCAATGGCGGGCTCATCTACTGCTTCGAGTTCCTCCTCCAGAACCTTGAGTTCCTCTCCGAGGCCCTCGACCCTCTCAGCGAAGAATATCTCATCATCTTCGACATGCCGGGTCAAATCGAGCTCTACACACACATCCCGCTGCTCCCTTCCCTGGTGCAGTTCCTATCCCGCCAGGGTCCGCTGAACATCAGTCTCTGCGCGGCATATCTTCTTGAGAGCACGTTCGTCGTGGACAAGGCCAAGTTCTTCGCCGGCACGCTGAGCGCCATGTCGGCCATGTTGATGCTGGAAATGCCGCACGTGAATATCCTGAGCAAGATGGACCAAGTCAAGGACATGGTTTCACGCAAGGAGTTGAAGCAGTTCACTAATGTGGATGTGAACAATCTGCTGGGCACGGCGGGTGACGATGAGGAGTCATCAGTGGCTACTGGAGACCCATCGTCCAAGGACGCAATGCTGAGCGGAGGATCGTTCCAGCAATTGAACCGCGCGGTCGGGCAGCTCATCGACGACTTCAGCATGGTCTCATTTCTCAAGCTCGACGTGCAGGATGAAGATAGTGTTGCCGCGGTGCTGAGTCACATCGACGATGCCATTCAATACCATGAGGCTCAGGAACCTCGCGAGCCTTCCGATGCCCAGGAGGTCGATTACGAAGACTGAGCTGAGTGAGATGCCGTAAGCCGTTGTTGGCGCTGCCGCTGCCGCTGCCGCTGCCGCCGGCGCGCCGTGATTACGCCATCGCGTCAGGATTTGGGGGCGCATGCGCTAGCGCATCCTACTTTTTCACTCCGTCGAGTTATATAGAGCTCCTGTTGTTGTTACCTAGGTAGCTTGTGTGTGCCTGGATGCTGTGGAACCGCTACCTTGCTGAGTCACCGACAGCAACAACAATACCCAACCCACCCAACAAACACTCGTCGCTGTTCTGCCATAAGCATCTACTACCCACTTGATATGGGGGCCAATTGAAGGCAGATCGCATGCAGTGCTCGTATCCGGATACGACTTAAAGACCGACGGGAATTATCTAATTGTCCGACCGACCGATCGATCCACCTGAAACAGGAATGTGAGCTGAAGGAACGAGATGGATTATGTTATGGCATTGTGCCAACCGCATACTACTATACTACTACCCCTTACAACTATTATCTATAATTAAGATGTCTCTAAAACCGAACCAATGATAGTGTCATATCATATGCAACCTGCACCTGCACCTTTTTCGTGTCACTTGGTAGATAGCTCCGTAAACAGCTATTTAACTGCAGAAGTAATAATTGATAGATAGATAAGTAAGTAGCATATGAGTTGTTTCTTCTGTCTTGTCTTATCTTATCACCAACAAGAAAAAACCAAATTCCTCAATCCTTGCAGTATACATGGCTTAGCATACCACCACATATCTATACCCCTCTACACCGCTCAATTCAAGGCAACTGAACTAAACTCAATTCACATTCACATTCACATTCAATCGAACCAAAACCAGCCATGTAATTCCATTCCATGCAGCATGCAATCGTTTATTCGTAGTAAGTAGTAGCCCAGCTCAGTCCAGGCCGGTCTCGGACCGCGGTGTCATTCCATTCCTTATTCCACCCTTCTTCATCTTCCAATGCAATCAATCCCATCTAGCATGACCATCAACCCATCCATGATTTATTACCAAGTTCCCAACTCCAACTCAACCCAACTCACTCTTTTAACACACTCCCCTCACAACCCAAAACTAATCCCTCCCCGCCCCACCCATAGTCCCCGTCACATACCCCCCAACACCCCCAGACGACCCCGTAACAGCCCTCCCGCCCTCCACCCCATCCCTAAACCCATCCACGAACCCCCCCGCAACACCCACAAGCCACCCCAAATCCCTCCCGGTCTTCTCAATCCCAACCGAATACACATACCACAAAGCACCCAGCACAAGCGCCCACCACAGCAACCTCAGGGCAAGATTCACCCAGAACATGACGAGACGGCGAGCATAGTCAAGGATCTTGAGGGAGATGATGAGGACGAGGGCGAGGATGAAGATGGAGACGAGGTCGGGCATGGGCATGGAGGAGGTGAGGAGCGAGGCGAGCGGGTGGATGAGGTAGGGGTCGAGGTAGGCGGAGCGGCAGTGGGAGATGTAGGGGGTTAGGTAGGTGGTGTGGAGGGAGGCGAGGTGGGAGGCGATGGGGGTGGAGGTGAGGGTTTGGAAGGTTGGATGTTGTTGGATTAGGGAGAGGAGGGAGTCTGTTAGGTTGGTGAGTGGGTGGTTAGTATTGTTGTTGATGTTGGTTGGGGAGATTGGGAGGGTGGTGGTGGTGGTGGTGGTGTTGATGGGGTAGGAGGTATTTGTGGTTGCGTTTGAGGTATTACCTGGGAGAAAGTCCATTGTGATTTGTTTAATGGAGCTCGCTGTAACCAGATATAGTAATCTGGTAGGAAGAGAGTATGGAGGTAGGCGAGGTGGCCACTCTCTTTTTATGCCTTGACGATTGGACGATGAAGGTTTGTCGTGGGGTGATGACGGATGGATGAGGTTGCAAAAAATAACCTTGTGCTATATACGGAGAGTTCTTAGAAGGCGGAAAGTATCATGGTCGAAATGAAGAAGCCAAACAAAGGAGATTCGAAGAGAAGATGATGGATGAAGGAGAGATCGGGACTTTCCTTCGGCCAGATGCGCCAGAGACAATGCGGCCATGCGCGGACCAATTAGCGGCCGAGCGCAAAGCCAAACCAGGCAAACACCGCAGCCAGTCCGGGGGTGGATCCCGTGATATCACGGAACTCGCAGGCATGCGATAAGTCAACTTTCTCGTTCTTCCTTGCACATTCTTATTTTACTCTGCTAGAATTTCGTTCACCTCAATATACTCAGCTGACAACTGTACATCTATGCAATTATACATGATCACGTCGTGATCGTGAGATATATACATGCCCATCTGGCCATGGACCCCATGTGACCATATACAAGCATCGGAGTATGCGCTGCACCCGACCAAAACAAATAGGTGCTTCCAAAACATGTCACACGCTAGAGTGTCGACGCCAAAACACCTCCCATGTGATTATTTTATACAGCGAAGAAACGAGAAAAATCTAAAATGCCGTCGTTCAAGCCATCAGAGTCCTGAACGTCTCGCGTTGGGCCATGATTTCGGCCTGGAGTTTGCGGGTCTGGCGGAGTGCATCGTCCCTGTTGCGGTTTGTTAGCATTGACCTCAAGATAACAGGTCTCTCACGACTTACCGATCAGACTGAAGTTCCGCGACTTCAATTTGCGCCCGGTTCATCCGGCTCACAACTTCTTCCATCTCCGAATCAGCGTCGCGAAGGAGCTTCTCCAGCTCCTTCACCCGCCGTTCCAGCGTTTCCGATTGGATAGCCTGATCCAAAGCAATACCCCTACCACTGGTTGTCAAGTCCAGACGAGGAGACCGTGAGCCAAAGGGCGTGGTCGGAGGCATGGGCGACAAGGCCGCGGGGCTGCGAGCGCCGTTCTTCATGCGCTTCAGTTGCGCATTGTGGTTCTCCTCAAGAGCGCGCACTTCTTCTTCGTGGCGCGCCATTTCGTCCTCGGAGTACTGCTGCGCCATCAGCAGGATGTCTTCCATCTCCTTGAGACGGGCCTGCATCTCATTGATACGAGCGGCTGACAGCTGCTGCTCCTTTTCACCCTTGCCAATGGCCTCGGCCAGACGGCTCCGCAGGGCATTGTTGCTGGCCAGCTGCTGTTGCACATGCTGCGCAAGCACGTCGGTCCGGTTGACCGACTCCACGAGTGAGTTTTGCTCGGCGAGGGGCGACTGGGCCGCGCTGGCTTCGGCGATTTCCCGATCCGCCTGAAGTTGCCTGTAAGCGGACTCCAGGGACGAAGAGGTTGCGAGGACCTCGGCGAATCCATCCCGATCACATTCGAGGTCTTCAGGAACGGTGATGTCGTGCTCCTGGAGTATTACGCGCAGGGAGGTGGTCTCCTGTTCAGCCCGGTCCAGGTCCATCTTCAGACCTGCCAATCCTTTTTCGCACTGCCACTTCTGTTCCAGAGCTTCCTCGGCACGCTGCCGAAGGTCGTTTACTTCTTCGCGCAAGTTGCGCACTTCGCGCTCATAGCCCAGCTTGCGCGGAGAACCCACTTGCTGTGCGCGCGCAATCTCCATCTCCATGAGCTGAAGCCGCTTCTCGTACTCACGGGCATCGTGGGCCTGGCGATCAAGTAGACGCCGAAGAGACTGGTGAAGCGCATCGCGCTGCGCCTCCACATCCTCGATTCTATCCGCCAGGTTCTCGCGGGGAGACTCATTGCGCTCCTTGGCGGATACGGAATTCGAGCGCGACAAAGAACTGGAGCGGGAGAGACCGGGCGACGGCTTAGTGCGCACGCGCGCCAACGAATTCGACCGCGACAGTCCCAACCCGACGTTTCTGGCAGTGGGCATGCCATCTTCTTCGGCAATTGAAGCGAATCGACTGCCTTGCAGCTGGGCGAGAGAGGCGTTTTCGATCTTCAGCGCTTCGATTTCCTCCATCAACCGCTGGACTTCCGACGGATCGGATGGAGGCGCGGCAGGTTGACTGCCTTGTTGCAATTGAGGGATAACAGTGTCACGCATATGATCCCGTTCGTTTCGCAACTGTTCGAGTTCTACTCGCATGGCGGTCAACAAGTCTTCAAAATTATCCTTGATTTGGCGCTCTTCGGCCAGCTTCCTACGGGTATCATCTAATGCGGCTTCGAGCTCCCTTGTCCGGGAGGACAGGTCCGAGAGGTCTACTCTCTCCCGTCGCAGCTAATGTGTGTTAGTCTTGGAGTTCAAGTTCTCTGTGCTGATGGAAGTCATACCTGCTGGACTTGGGACTCTAGTATCTGGACGTGTGCTTCTGAGGCTGCCCGGCGACTGCGCTCTTCTTGCAACTTTTGGCCCAGATCCACCTTGATCTGAGCCCGCTCCTGCTCTGCAGTGCGTTTGTACTTTTCAATGTCTTCGACGCGACCACCCGATTCGAAGGCGTAGCGGATGGAGCTGCTGCCCGAATCGGAGAAATAATCGCTAGTCCGGCGATTGGGGGTATCTAAGGGCATATCCGACTGCAATCTCTCCACCAGATCCTCCAACTCCATCTCCCGCCGGATGGACCCGGCCAGCTCTGAGCTGATCTCCCGCAGTTCATTCTCAAGCTCGGTCACCAGCGTCGTCGCCCTGGAGTCCAGGATACTTCCACTGCTCAGAGATGGATTTCGCTGCGGGAGAGGCACTTGCGGCTTGGAGGGATCGAAGGGCACCGTGGTGGACGGTGTTATGGAGAAGGACGCGCTGTGGAGGGAGGCAGGCATCGGGGAAGGCACCGGGGAACGACCGGTCTCGGAGATCTCGGTACTGGAGGATTCCGCGCCGGGTGAAGATGTTGTAGCGCGCCACCCAAAAAAGGAACTGATCTTGTTCGCCGGTGTTTTCGGCTGTTTGGAGTCACCGGACGAGGACCGGCTGGGGGAATCGATATGTAGCGGTGGAGGACGGCGTGAGGGGAGGTGCAAGGCCATGGTCGTGGGGCGCTTGGGGAGGAATGCCGGCGATTTGAGGATGGGAACGAATGGCTCGCTCACAAGACGGCTGTGTAGGGACGTCCCATTCGAGAATTGAGAGGAGTATCTGGGGTTGTGGGTATTGTTGTTGCTGCTCTCCTCGTCGTCGTCCACGTAGGCTGCGGAGGTATCTATACGTAGATGGGACGCGGACGGACCACCACGGGGAGATCTGGAGAAGAGTAGAAAAAGTCCGAGATTAGTCTTGCCACGTCTGAAGGGAAAAGTGGACATGGAAAGGCCGTCTCCCGGCTGCAGAAGTAGCGTGAGATTGCAAGGACCGCAAGCAGCAGAGTGAGGGGGAGCAGGGGGAGAAGGTGAGGGGAAGAGAGCACGGGCAGGGGGCAACGGCTGTCATACCTGTCCAGGTTCCTTGGAACCGAATGAAGGGAGTCGTCGTCCTCCTGGCCGTCAACTTCATACACGGAACCGGAGAAGGAATAGGTTGAAGCAGGGGAGTAGGCCAAGTTATGATGGCTGGCAGCAAGAGGAGAGGAAGAGACAGGGAGTGACAGCGGTTCTGCAGGCGAGTCGCCCCGGGGGGAGGAGGGTAGCAGGGGCGAGGAAGGAGGCCTGGATTGGCGCGACAGGATCACAGCATCCTGGGGGAGCGGTTTCCTGCGCACAAGGGTGGCTGAAGGAGGGGGAGATGCCAGAGAGGTAGTAGAGGGCGGCAAATGGGAAGAAGGAGAAGTGACAGGACCAGCAGCGGCGGCGGCAGCGGAGGTGGTGGAGGAAGCAGAGGAGGGAGGACGAGGATGAGGAGGAGGAGGAGGAGGACGACTTGGCCAAGCGCCGGGGTCATCAAACACAGGAGATGGAGACAACTGATGATAAGTCTGGGACAAGGAATGGGGATGATTATGGTTGGGGCTTGAGGATAAAGCGCCCGAGGCAGGCGGAGAAGTCCAGCCTGGGGCCATGAGGGAGGAGACACTCTAATTGGCAAGGTTGAGCGCCAAACCCGGGACAATTGACAAGAACAGGTAAAGACGGGAAGGGAAGGGGGGTGAAAGACACAGAGGAGAGGGAAGATCAGAAACAATCGTTGGTCAATGGGTTCAGGATCGACGCACCCTCATGGTGACGAGGGCAGGAGGCGTTTAGTTTTGGCACGGGGCAATAATCATTCAATGGGGAGGAGAGGCAGGTTTGACAAGACGTTCAGGGGAATAATAGTGGATGGAACGGACCCATTGGACGGGAGAGGGAAGTAAGTAGATAGTCCAGTAAGTAAAGTTCAGACAATCCCAATCTAGCTGGATCAATCAGTCCATCACAAAAGCAGACATGCACACATGGATTACACGCAGTCTGTTTCTGAATGGGTTAGTTTCAGTTGGTTTAGAGGGAAGATCGGGGCGACAAGGGCGAAGGGGAGAAAAAAAAATAGAAAAAGAAAAAGAAAAAAGGAGGGCGGATTGAAAGGGGCGGAGAGAGGAAGAGAGAGAGAGAGAGAAAGAGAGAAAGAAAGGCTTCGGAGAGAGAGGATCGTGAGATTGACCATAGCTTCAAGCCAATTGCTGATTGGTGCCGACAAAACTAATTCCCGAATTGGTGGGGATTTGCTCTACTACTAACTACTCAGTTACAGGAATAATAATCCATAATAATAATCCGCTGAATCTTTAGTTAGTTGGTAGATACAAAGTAGTTGGTTGTGGAACCCCAAGTTCTCACTATTCAGAGGGCATTGCTGGTTAATTCTCACCAGGTTGAAGTCAACATTCCTACAGCTCCTCCCATAATTCTTTACACATTTTTCTCTCCATCTTCAAGCTATCTCTAGTATTATTCTCTGCCATCCCGAGACCAGCTCGCCTCCAGTCCAGACGGCCGATCGGAGTCCAGCCCCACTCGATATCACGGTAGTCGGAAGACCGCAGGTCTAGTCAGGGGTAGATTAGAGAGAGCAAGTTTACTGACTTTCCCATAGTCCACCCAAACCATGGTTGCAACATCAACCACAACCACAAACAAGGTCAAAGAACAACCAAGATCCATTTTCAGAAACCACCCCCAAAGATATGCTGACATCTGTTTGTTTCACCAACAAGGAGGCTTGGATACTGAAAATAGCACAAACAAAATTGCAAAACAATTAATGTGGCCGGCCCTATAGTCAGCATATCGGCTGGCCCCAACCTCTTCCTCTCCCGACAGAGAGAGAGAGCAAAAAATCTCTTACTCTACTACTTACTTCTACTACGTACTAACTAGCCTAGTGGCCGGTGCGTCCTGCACCCGAGCAGTTATGACCCGAACTAGTTCCACTACCAAACCATCTATTTACTGCACAGTACAGAAGTAGTCGTCACCCTCTGCTGTACAGTAGATTCAGGAGACTGTCAATGCAGAGTGCAGCTTGCAGACACAGACATCGTCACACACACACTACACTCTCTTTCAGTGCACAGATCTCCACTTTTTGCGGATCTCCTGCATGTGATGACTGGCGATGTGATTGGGTTTGAGACCTGAACCGTGGTAGAAAAGTGAGACTCCCGTCTGCAACTGTATAGCCTTAGGGGGGAGGGGGCCATGGCAATGGGGCTGTTAGTAACTTAGTAGTCATAAGTTGTAAGTAAGCGCCCGGCTTAAACTCGCTTGGATTGATAGTATGTACTACGTATCCGTCCCGAACCAACATTTTATTTTTCTTCCTCCTGCATCAGTTAGAAACTGACACACGACCAGTCCAGAATCCCCAAGTACTAAATATAGTTACTATCTTTTTGCGACGTGAAACGACTGCCAACCGATAGATAACTATTGAGGCTTATTCTAGACCTTTGATCGTCGACGGTTGGCTGCAATAGTGTAGTTACTATACAGTAGTATTATTATCTGGCTACTATATTTTACTATGACACTTAACGTGATAGGAGATGGTCTGACCACAGCTAACAACCTTGGGGGGGGGGGAGGGTTTTTATTATGGATCATCCTGACTAGTAGTGCTAACGGGCAGCTACTTAGCTAACTAGATTGATGAGTTCTGCCGTGTCTACTACTACTGTATATAAATTAAATGGCTCATTATTTCACTACTCAGTAGTAACTAGTGTAGCATGTAATAAGTACAGTACGTGTTTCCTTGTCTATCCCATCTCTTCTGGGTACTCTCCTCCGAGAGAAATATATACACAGTGGTCTAACCGCTAAGTACTACTACCTAAATATATTTGCTAATGAGACACTCATATAAAATATTCCTCTATCCATGTCTACTAGTTATCTCCCCTTCCCCCATCTTCCAGTCAAACCCTGTATGCTCCCCAATTTTAAGAACAACATAAAAAAACAAAAAGTATAATATACCCCAATCAGCAAGGGGCGAAATCTTCCTCCCAAACTCTAAGCCAACACAACACAACAACTTCCATTGTGATTGACACCACTCCGTCATTACCATCAAGTTCAAAAATAAAACAATGAAAAACTAAACTACATATTTCACGAAAGAAATTCTCCTGCTTCTATATTTATCCCTCCCTCCCACCTCATAACTCAAGTGGCGCCATCCCATGCAAATTATGTCTTAGCCTGCACTTCGTGGTCCGGCAGGGCACTATCTACTACTCGGAAAAAAGCCAAGGAAGGATAGTTGCATAAATACAGGGCTGCAGGGGTAGCTTCCCCCGGCCCCCCTCCGGCCCCCTTACTATTCCCGTATGTAGACCCTTTTTTTTATTTGCGCTCTTTTCTTTTTTCTTTTCTTTGGTTCAGGTGGTGTCAAACGTGCAGTAGTGCTGCATTATTCCGGTTCTATTTATGGGGAGGTATGATGCAGTATATACAATAGTACTAAGTAATGTTTGTTAAGTGGTCGGTGATTTCAGGATGTCAGTAGTAGCAGTAGTACTTAGTTTCGGGTGGTTGGGTGGTTGGTAGTAGTTTGATTATGGGGCTCGGTTCGGTTTCATATCCGGCCCTGGTCAGCTACTTCTACTACTGGAAGTAGCTTTGTTTATTTGATACACTGGGTATGTAGGGTATATCCACTAGGTTCTCGTATAACTACTTGCTGTATAGTGAGGATTGTGGAGGATTTATGCAACTAGGTGTTTCTGTGTTATCTAATAATTTGAATTCAAGCATCGACGCCTTAACTCATCGCTAAACATAACTGATTCGAATCAATATATCAACCGACGCCTTGTACACGTAAAAGCTCATTGCTCCTGGCTCGTAACGCTTTTCGGATTTTCGCAGAATTGAGAACATTGCATCCCATATAATGTTCATCCAGACCGATGCTCGCATAACATACATAACCATATCTTCGTTCAGATTGCATCCCTATTCTAATATGGGATGAAATCGAATCTCATCCGATCTGAAGATTTCGTCAGTTTTATATTCTTCTTCAATAGAGGTAGTGCATACCGAGATATTGACTCCATCCCTCGTTTTCATCTATTTGATTCGCCCAATACTGTTCCAGGAACTTCAATGACTGCAACACATTTGGTACGCGAATCGTATCGTGCAGCGAAGACAGTAGCCGCCGCACTTGCTCGCGATCTTCTCCGCGCGCCTCACACCCGGCGATGAATAGCGGGGTAGTCAGCATTACCCACGGACTCAGCCCCGGAGACGGCCCGATCTGAGCCGTGCATTCGAGGATCCTCTTAACGGACTCCTGCACCACAGGTGCAGACGCTGGTGTCTTTCGTAGTCGACGATGGATCTGAATGAGAGCACTGAGTTGAAAGGCCTCGTTACAGAGCATGAGCTGCTGGATACATTCTGCAGAAAGACCCTCCACGACGCCCGGGTAGAACGCGGGCTGCGAAGCCACTTCTTGTTCCATGAGATGACGGAGCGACGACTCCAGCGCTGCAGCTTCATTGTGTACGCTGACCTCGTTCCCTTGGACAGGATTCTCATCGTCTTCCTGCCCCCGACTCTGATGCTCCCGCCAAGCGACGGCCCCAATCCTTCGGAAGATCGTGGCCAAATTTACCGTAAACCCCCAGTAATCATCCAAGTAATCCGGTGACGCCGACTGATTTGGCCCAATGGAGACCAGCTGATCTGTAGCTTCACCGATGGGCGGCCCATTCCCCGTCAACGCAGTCAGCGACACGATTGACCGATACCATCTATCCAGATACCGCCTGAACCCTTCTGGCGATTTGGGCGACAGCGCCCCGCTCTGATCTGATGCCTCCATCAGAGCCCGGGCACCTTCGATATGTGCGCGCCAGGAATTGGGGTGGATTGCACCGGAGTGTATCTCTGCGAGGCAGAGCGTTCGGGCGGTTGCGAGCAGCGCATCCGATCCCCTGCTCGCAGGATTTTGTAGTTCTGTTCTGAAATGTTCTAAGCTGAGGGCCATGAAGCGTGCGATCTCGGGCGCGGACTTGACATTCTCGGATTGATTGTGGAGGGCTTGGAGGTGGATAGCGGAGAGGGCCATGGTTGCGTAGAGGAGGGACGGGGTCTGAAGCGCCATGGGGACGAGCATCTTGCAGATATCGCGCTGCATGCCGGAGTGGCAAGCCGTGATCTGAGAGGCATCGTTGAGGAAGTGATGGAGGAGGGATTTCTGGTCGGTAGAGAGGGAGGCGAAGGGATCAATATGACGGACTAAGGTGGTGTTCGTGGGTTGGGTAGACGGAGATGTTGCGATTGTGCCCGGTGAGAGAGCAGCCGCAGCTTTTGTGGTATAAATGAATTCGCCAGGGGAGTATTCTGATTGCGAGTAGACAAGTTAGACCAGTATATCCAGGTATACAAACAGGCTATATGGTATTCACCCACCGAGTTTTTGCATGCCTCCCGTTCCCACGCAAGCCCCAAACCGTGAGCGCGAAAAGGCTCGGCCCCCCCACTGCAGCTGCATCGCATATCGACATTGCGTGCCAGCCGTCATGCAGCGACCACAACTGGGACGCTGCTCATCGCATTTCTGCCGTCGGGCTTTACATCGTTTGCACCCATTGAAAGATCGAGACATGGAGTTGGCGGGGATGAGGGGATCGCAGAAAATGTTGCTGATTGCTTTTTTTCCCTCTGCGGAGTCTTCGGCTCTTCCCCGGTTCAGGGGGGTTCGTCCGCTGGTTACTTCTCCGCAGCTGATAAGAGTGACAAGGTGGGGGATAGGTGTCACCAACTGTGGATGAACGTTGTCAAGTTCTGTGCGGAGAAGATGGAGAGGAGATGAATCTCAAGCCGCAGGTGTGCCACGAGCCCGTGGAAAGTCTTAACGGTCAGTGCGAGAAACTAAAAGTTGAGACCGATGAGATAAGGCGAACCCAAGCGGGACCCGCGGCTTTCTGTATAGCGGCCGATCATCGATCCACCGCTGCTGCCAATCGTCGTGCTCAGAACAGCCGTTGGGCGCTCTGCGTAGATCGGATTCTGATGTCTCAGATCAGGGTGTGCATGACACAGTACCCTAATTCTTCCCCAGACATTGTCTCCAGATTTATCTATCTAGGTCATACTGATCGTCGCCACGAGGGGGCGGGATATGCATGGCTTGCGTGCTTCGGAGCGGAAACCTTATCGGGGCCGAGTTTGTTGGCTATGTGCACACGACAATGGCATTTCAAAATGATTTACGCTGAGAATCCATACAATACAGCCGGAGCAGGTCTGTGCTCGGCCAGACAGAAGCAGATTAAACAAGCACGGGGTAATATGTCACATCACGTCACACTGCTCTATTGAGCTCTAGTCATCGAACGTGTAGCGCAGCCACTCGCCAACCGCCCGCAAGCTCTCCCACCGCACCGATTCGTCCTTGTCCGTCATCAGCTCCATGACACGAGTCTTCAGACCCAGCTTTTCCAGCTGTGCCCGCCGTTCGGGCAGCTCCTTCACCAAGTGACCCACGTCGTTACAGGCAATCGCCAGCACCTGTTTGTCGTTATCCCAGCTCTTAGACATGATTTCGGACAGCTTCTTCGGCAGTGCACCGCTGTTTTCGTCGAGGATGCGACGGGCATTGTCCTTCCAGAAGGTAGGGTTGCGGTGGGGCGGGGACCACCGGAGGTGGCCGGACTGCAGCTCAGCTGCGTACTGATCGAACGTCGTCTGTGTCTTGGTGTACTCGTCCAGCATTTCGGACAGGAATGTAAGGTCCTCCAGGAGATCGGGGTCGGTCAGATGGCGGCCGGCGAGGTTCGTGAGGAGGGCAGGGAGGCGGACAAAGACTGCGACCGGGAGTAGGGTGGTGCGGTTACTAGACAGGAGGTTGTTGAGGGTCGCAAGGAGGAGTCGCGTGGTCTTCTCCTTCGGAGAAAGGCGTAGGAGGTGTGTGTACAGCTGGACAAACTCGTAGTCCCTATAACTATTGTCAGCCTCATTCCATCTTAAACCCATTAGGAGTCAGGTCACATACGCTTGCAGATCATCACCAATCAACTCTCCTTCAAAACTGAGCTGCCAGAGGACAAGCAAGACCCGGTACAACAGCTGGAGACCAACACCACCGGCAAGACCAGGCTCGATCGCGCGCGAGCTGCCAGCCAAGGTGCTGGAGCTGCTATCTTTAGCACCCGTAGCTGCACGCAGGATCTCAATCAACGGCTCAACGGTCTGCTGCCTCTGCTTCCAGAAAATCTCGCGAGACCTCGAGGTTCGTAGCAATGCGGACAGCTCCTGAACCCCGATATCCTGCAGTCCGCTGTCTTGGTTCTGGGTCAGGGTAGAGAGATAGGTGTACAACTGCGGAAGCGCTTCGTCATCCCGCGCAGCTGGCTTAGATGACGTGCCCAGGCTGACGGAGACAAGGTTGGTCAAGAAGGTGGAGGTGAGCAGAGGGATCGGGTCTTCGGGGTTGGTGGAGTGACGCAAGAGGGGAAGGAATGGCTTGTAAGGGTCGGGATGCGCGACCAGGGCGGTCGAGAGGGAGGGGACATCTAGAGAACCGGGATGATCAGTATTCATTTCCATCATCACTATCGCAATCCGATCAGGGAGAAGGTGCTTGTACCGTTGATCAAATCCGCGGCCAGCACGAGAATGTATTGCACAATATCGGTTCTCCTGGAAGCGGAGTCCAGCACGCTCTTCCCTTCAGAGCCACCAGAGAGTAGACCAACATAACCAGCCAGATCCCCCTCGACAGTCTGACGCCGCTGCTCCTTGCGAACCTTATCCACCGCCTTGATCTTCTTCAGGTGGTCATCGGTGATGTTTCCCGCTCGGACAGCTCCCTCCCATGGGATGGGACGAGCTCGGATGTTGTTCTGTAGCGAACTGAGGTAGGTGGGTGGCTCCAGGGGTAGCGACGACATGGTGATTCCGGAGGAGGGGGGGGAAATTCAGGAGCCAACCGGAACGGAGAAAACTGGATTGAGGGGAGAGAGGGACGGGGGGGGGTTGTTGCGGAGGTGGTGAAAGAGGAGGAGGTTGGGGAACGGCCAGGGAGGAGCCGATGATGATACGAATCACGTTCGCCGTCACTCTGTCTAGTGTCTCTCCATCCCCGGCCGCCAAGCCGGTTGCGCTTCATCGCTTCTTCGGAGTCCACGCAAGCTGCAACGTATCGACTGAACGGCCCCTCCTCCTCTCCGACCCCGGTCGGACAACTCACTCTCTTTGGATCTCATTGCTCTTCCACTTCCTCGGAATTTGTGCTTCTCTAAGCTAGTCTCTCGTTTGTGGTTGCTTCCCGCGTCCGATTTAGTACTACGGCCTCGTCTTCCTCGAAGTGACGACAAGCCGGCATCAGATCGCATCATCGTCTAAACTCCTCGCTTTCCATGATTGAATTGGCGCATTCTTGCTGCTAGGTATCCTAGTTTGCAGGAGCAACAATATTCACAGCCGTCACGATGTCGCAGGGTTCCCAAGGCTCCAAGCCGAAATGGAAAGTGGGCTCTTTCCTGCAGCAAGCCGTTGCCGGCGTTGAGTCCAGGCTGGACTTGATCCTGGCCGAAGAGGAGGACCAGAAACAGCTACAGGCTAAGAATGCGACCGCAAAGCCCAAACCAAATGAGCAGACAAGCAGTATGGAGACACTTGATCAATTTGGGTGGTTGTACTATGTAAGATTGCTAACAGTTACCAGGTATATCACGTAGTTCGTCGAATGCGCGAAAGAATGATCGCCTTCAAGAACGCCTGGCTCGTGCCGTGGTCAAGTCGAATACCGCAGGCAATACTTCCTCGCAGCCTTCCAGCCATGCCCCCTCCCCCGTCAGCAGTCCGGTTCCCAGCAACGGCGGACGCTCGAGCATGGATATTGATGCTAGTCTTGATTCCCAGAATGGAAGTACAGGGAGACATTCTCGAAATTCCAGTCGGCAGGAAGTAATTGCAGCCACAGAGGCTCCTCGGATGAGCCAGGACTCAGCCGTCTCGTCACGCCGCTCTCAGGACCTCGTTTCGCAGACCAGAACTTCTAATGTTGAGGAGGCTGCTTCAGCAGACACCTCTAATGCGACACCTGATACCACCAAAAAAGACAGCGCATCATCTCCCGAGCCTGATCAAACTCCTGCGCCTACGATTTCCCTGCCAATGACGGATACTCCTACGGACAGCCCCAGGACTTCCAGCGACCAAGACAAGTCTATTGCGCAGTTACAGGCGGACCACAAAGCCGCAGAGTCTCAGTGGCAGGAGGAAATGTACGGATATATCGAACGGATCGATGCGCTGCAGTCCAAGTTAAAGTATTTGGCCAAGGAAGCCGCGGAATCTGCCAAGAAGGCAGCGGCTACAGCAGAGCCAGGGAGCGTCGAAAAACAGCTTCGAGAAAAGGACGAAAAGATCGCACTGTTGCTCGAGGAAGGACAAAAGCTATCCAAGTCGGAAATGGACCACAGAACCGCGATCAAGAAACTGAGGCAGCAATTGGCAGAGAATGCAAAGGCGCAGACTGAGTCAAAGAAGAAGACTGAGAAACTGGAACGGGATCTTGCCAATGCAGAAATCAGAGCCAAACGGGCCGAGGCGGCCGAGAAGAGAGCAAATGACTCGCTCTCTGCGCAAACGAAGGTGTCTCGGGACCTGGAAGCCGTGACGGCAGAGCGTAACGCACTCAGCCAGACTGTACAGGAATTGAAAGGACAGCTCGCTCGGGCTGTGTCCAGAGCGGAAGCTGCAGAGGCCAAGGCTCAATCCGAGGCACTCGAGCAGGAGAAGCGTCGCGCTACCCAGTTGGAGGAGGATCTAGCAAGCGCCAAGATCGAACGTGAAATCAGTGAAGAGAAGCTGAATAGAGAGATCAGCGATTTGAAGGGAACCATTGAGCAGGAAAAGGAGCGAGCGCGTATGTTGGAGATCGAGCTGAAGGGAGAGCAGTCGGCGCTGGAAAGTAAGATGGAGTCCTTGCGGTCTCGGGCAGAAGAGGCGTCTTCCGGTGTTACTGGCGATGCGCAAGCCAAACTCCTGCGTCAGATCGAAACCCTCCAAACACAGTATGCTGTCGCCAGTGAGAATTGGCAGACCTTGGAAGGCTCACTACTGGCACGGTTGGCGAACGTCGAGAAGGAGCGGGATGAGGTTGCACGACGGGAGGGCGAGATGCGGCGGAAGATCCGCGAAGTGGTAAGACGCCCTAAATCCCTGATGCAATGGCACCAGATAGACTAACTGTGCACAGAACCTCAAAGCGAAAAGACTTGAAGAAGACCTAGAGAATGCCAAGGAGGCCGAGCATGACCTCGAAGGAAAGCTCGAAGAGCGCATGCAAGAACTACAGAAGGCAGAGCAGAAGCTGAAGAAGTCGGCGGATGACTTGGCCCTGGCTCAAAAGGATCTCGTTGAACAAAAGAAGGTGCTCGATGCTACATGGTCGCAGAAACTAGAGGAGGAGCGAACCAAATGGCGCGAGCAGACCATTTCGCCGCCCGCCTTGCTCCAGCAGCCGCGGACGCAGTCCCCCGTTGCCTACAGCCGGAGACCAAGTGCTTTGGAGCCTGTCTCACTAGACTTCCGGCCCACGAGCCGTCGGTCCTCGACATTACCAACTTCGCCAGAAGTTGGCACACCCACTCGCCAGAACTCTTTCCCCAACTCGACCCTGATGCTCTCTCCACCTCAAATCAACGGTTCCTCTCACCACGCTGTTCCAGAAACCCCGTCAATTACTTTCGAGCCCGACGAGTACTTCAGCCGCTCCGGTACCCCCTCGGCCTATGGCGGAGCAGCGACACAGCATTCGCGCGGTATCAACGACATTATCTCCGAGTCCACTGTAGGAGCGGGACCGTCCGTACAGCTGGTTGAGCGCATGAGCGCCACGGTCCGTCGCCTCGAAAGTGAACGCGCAGCATCGAAGGACGAACTCGCCCGAATCACTACACAACGTGATGAAGCACGCCAGCAAATTGTCGACTTGATGCGCGAGGCGGAGGAAAAGCGATCGTCCGATGCTCGCGTGCAAGATCTTGAGAAGCGGCTCGAGGATCTTGACCAGAGATACCAGACGACGCTCGAGATGCTCGGCGAAAAAAGCGAACAGGTGGAAGAGCTTCAGGCCGATATCGCAGATCTTAAGAAGATCTATCGGGAGTTGGTTGACAGCACCATGAAATAAGAGGTGTTTGTGCGTAGTAGACTTGTTATTGCTGCCCTGTACATAGATTTGTTCGTTCGGGCTAGACTCCGATTTAGACGATGTGATGTGAGACATGCCTTGAAAGAGAAGACGTCATGAATCCGTTAATTACTAAGACAAAAATAATATGGAAACAGTCATTCGATGAGCCTGAGAGTATCAAAGATAGACTCCGGGTATTAACTCTTCTTATATCTTCCATCCATCTGTCCTTCCCTATCCAACGTATAGATAAACTATAACTCAATCCCCTCCCTCTCCGCCGTTTGCAGGATATAGCTCCGTACCTATACGCATACCCACTATTAGCACACTCCCACCTCAAGAAGACCACAAAGAAAAAGTGAAAAGACTAACCTTGCTGTCCGGAGCCATATCAATGGCCAAAACGCCATTAGAATCCCTCTTATCCGCCTCGGCACCGGCCTTGAGCAACGTAATTGCCGCATCACCGTGGCCCTCTGACACCGCGTGATGTAAAGCCGTCAATCCATCGACATCCGTCGCGTTCACGGGACTTTTCCCATCCTCCAGGAGAATCTTGATGATGGGCGACGACCCGATCGCTGCTGCCCGGTGCAGAGGTAGTTGTCCGCGTCTATCCTTTACTCTTGCGCTGCACTTGTTGGCGATGAGGGTGCGGACGGTGGAGAGGTTGGCTTTGGAGGTTGCGAAGTGGAGGGCGTTCTGTTGTATTTACAGATGTCATGTTAGGGAGAAGGTGGCTTAGGACAAAGGAAGGGTATGTACCTGGCCCGAGACGCTCTTCGTGCTTACGTCTGCTCCTTTCTTGAGTAGGAGGTCGATGATGGGATCGCCTTCAGCGTTTTTCAAACTGGATGCGATCATGAGAGGTGTCCAGCCGGAGCCATCCTGTGGATATGTTAGTGAGGGTTCTGACGTGGTATGTTTCTAGACGTTGAGGTAATGACGAACCTCGACATCGGGATCAAAGTGCTTGCTGGATATCAGTAGCTCCACGATCGGGAGACGGTTGTATGCTACTGCCCAGTGGATGGGGAGACGATCATCGTCATCCTTGACGTTTGCTAGCTTGGGGTTGGCCTAGATTCCATCAGCGGGGGATGTTTCGAGCTAATAATGAGGTTGTATAGAGCTCTCTCATGGCGGTGCGGGGCAGCTTTGGAGTAGCACGTACACTGAGGAGAGATTCGGCGATTTGAGCTGGAGTAGATCTGTTAGAGCTTATCACAATGTTCGGGTTGGATGCCTCGTACTTTTGCCCTCCCGGGCAGCCTCGTGAAGAGGGAACTTAGCTTCCTGGCCGGTATTCATGATGGATGTGGCAGAATTACATGGGATCGAATAGCATCAACTAATCAATCGGCGGGGTTGGCATCTGGGCCTCGACACCTGAAGGTAACGCTGATGCCTCAGGCCTAGACTAGCTCGCCGCCCGCCGAAAATCAAGTCGAGCTTCGCTGCCGCTGATTCCAACTTCGCCCTCACTTTCAGTCATCACCAATTCCACGCCTGCGCCGCGCTTCTCCTGTCATCCCGGTGCTTAGTACACTCCGCATGAGGCACACCTCTGATCTCGACTAAAAGCCCAATACACCCCGCCCCGGGGCTCAGGACGCGCCAACGACACGTCTCCGCAGCAAGCAGCTCAAACCTCCATACCGAGCGTCGGAATACCCTCCAATCCACCACAATGGACGTCGTTCCCTCTACCACCCCAGACGAGGCAGTGCGCCTCTCCGCCAAGCGGACGGCCGAGCTCTTCGGCTCCGACTACCTAATGGTCACCCCTTCCGTCGCCAATGGCTCCATCGCCACGTCCTACCGGCGCAAAGCAGAATACGAAGATGTGAAGGAACTCCCCCCAGCGCTCGCCGAAAAGCAAGCCAAAGCCGTGGCCGCTGGACGCGCCAAACGTCCCAAGATCCAACCACAGTCCCAAGCCGCCGTGGACGGCAGCGGCGCGTCCATGGCCCTCGTCAAGAAGGCCCCCGGCCCAGCAGCCGGCGGCGTCGGTGGTGAAAACGCCCCCAAGAGTCTCATCCAACGTCCCTCGGCGACGAAACAGCAACGACCCGACTGGCACCCGCCATGGAAGCTCATGCGGGTCATCTCCGGCCACTTGGGTTGGGTGCGCAGTTTGGCCGTCGAGCCCAACAACGAGTGGTTTGCTAGTGGTGCCGGCGACCGAACCATCAAGATCTGGAACCTGGCTACAGGTGCCCTCCGTCTCACTCTCACGGGTCACATTTCCACCGTCCGCGGTCTGGCCGTATCCCCCCGACATCCCTACCTCTTCTCCTGCGGTGAAGACAAAATGGTCAAGTGCTGGGATCTCGAAACCAACAAAGTCATCCGCCACTACCACGGCCACCTCAGCGGCGTCTACACCCTCGACCTGCACCCCCGTCTGGACCTCCTCGTCACAGGTGGTCGCGACGGCGTAGCCCGCGTCTGGGACATGCGTACCCGCGCCAACGTCCACGTCCTCGCCGGCCACAAGGGCACCGTCGCCGACGTCAAGTGCCAGGAAGCCGACCCGCAGATCATCTCAGGCTCCCTCGACGCCACCGTCCGCCTGTGGGATCTCGCAGCCGGTAAATCCATGGGCGTGCTCACGCACCACAAAAAGGGCGTGCGCGCTCTGGCCACCCACCCTCGCGAATTCACCTTCGCCTCCGCCAGCACGGGCTCCATCAAGCAATGGAAGTGCCCCGAGGGCGACTTCATGCAGAACTTCGATGGTCAAAACGCCATCATCAACACCCTCTCCGTCAACGAAGACAACGTCATGTTCTCCGGCGGTGATAACGGCTCCATGTGCTTCTGGGATTGGAAGACCGGGTACCAGTTCCAGAACATCGATGCTGTTGCTCAGCCGGGTTCTCTGGAAGCTGAGGCCGGTATTATGGCTTCGACGTTTGATCGGACTGGTCTGCGTCTCATTACTGGTGAGGCTGATAAGACAATTAAGATCTGGAAGCCGGATGATGAGGCCACGGAGGAATCTCACCCTGTTACTTGGGCCCCGACTCTGGGGAGACAGAGGTATTAGTTTGTTAGTGTGGCTTGTGGTGTGCTTCTGCTCATTATCATCAATACCCCGATGTCTTTTTTTTTTTTTCAGTTTGTTTATCCTGGTGTGTGGGGAGGAGCTGCTTTAAGGGGGGTCCGTTTTTCTAGCTTTGATGTTATGTCATGCTGTGTATGCACTTAGGAGTTTAGCGTTAATTATTTGGGATGTCAGCTTGATTCCCTGGGAAGGGCTCATAAAAGGAATGTATCATATAATTGCTTAGATTGGAAGTGTCTGTTCTAATAGTTGTAAGTTGTAGAAGTTAGATGGTGTCTTAGTATAGTTTCATTTCGTATTTGTATTGTTTCATTAATTAATAAAACATATGGGTATCATTGTTCTTATACAGTATCTATCATCTAAATTGTCCCGAATATAGTGAGTGGTAAATCACTGATCCAAGCCCAACCCAAGCCCCTTGGCTTCGTCATCCTCGCGGAAAGCGATTTTGACATCCTCTGCAGCGATACGTAGTCGTACCTTTCCGCTGCGATCGCCGCGATGCGGTATAGCAGCGCTACCTAGCGGTCCCTTGGCACCGGCTCCGTACTCCAGGGCGAGAACCCCCGAGTTGGTCAGTTCCATCGCAGCGTAACCCAAAGCTTGTACGCGAGCGCCGGTCCCTCCGGCTAATAGGAAGTCTTTGATGCCGGCGCCTGCTGCTCCGGCCACGGCCACGGCCGCGTCGGCGATTCGTTTGGCTTCGTCGATAACGTCGCCGAATGCTGATTCGGAGATACCGGTGCGTCGGACGCGGGCTAGCATGGCGGCGAGGAAGAGCTTAGCGGCGAGGGGGAGACAGCGCAGGGACTGTTGGAGAGGGGTTGATGTGGCTTCGTGGATGGCCTGTTTGATTGTGGCGATGGTGACACGGCCGACTGTTTGTGGTTTGGCAGGGGGTTTCTTTTGAGGGGAGGACTGGGCGGATTGTTTGAGAGATCTTTCTCTGCGGGCTGGGGTCTTGCTGGGTGTTGGGGGTAGGGATTCGGTGTCGTCTGCGTCGGGTTTGTCTGTGTCTGGGTCCTGGGCTGCTGCTTCGCTAGCCTGTTCGGCAATTTCGACGGCGCGTCGACAGATGTCCAAGGCACGTCGGGCGTCACCACTAACGGCGGCGACCTTGCGACTGGCGAATTGAATGGCATCTGCGTCAACGATGTTTCCTGGTACGTTGGCTAAGCGGGTGCTGATGATTTCCATCAGATCTGTGTGCTTGTATCCTGGAAAGGTAATACGGGTGAGACCCAGACGACTGGAAATCTTGTTGCTGAGTGTACGTTCCGGAAGATCCATGGTGTTTGCGACAGCCAAGACAATAAGACGAGAGTGATGAAGTGCAGGCCAGTTAAAGAAGTTGTACATCACGGACTGATTTTTTGTGACAAGCTGATCGAGCTCGTCCATAAGAACGACGCAAGACACTCGTCGTGGGGATGGATGTGAGAACTCCCGCTCAAGAAGGTCGAGGGCATGTGAAGGCGATACTCTGTCACCCTTGAGCGCTTCCCAGAGCATTGAGTAAGATTGGTGGGGATCGGTGACCTTCATGCCGTTGATCTCAACGAAGATGAAATCGTCCATCTCTTCTGCCAACACGGCCGAATTCAACTGCGCAACGACTTCGAGAACCGTTGCTGTCTTTCCAGTACCCGGCGTCCCTGAAATGTAGATACAGGCTCCTGTCCCTTCCATGATCGCGGCACTGAGATGACTATAGACTGTTTCAAATTCTGTCTTTCGGCATGGGAGCGATGTAGGCACAGTGGAAACGTGCAGCAACGTGCGCGCCTGGCGGTACGGGGAGGCGAAATGAGTGGGTGAAAGAATACGAGTACCAAGAGGTGTGAACTCGAGGGGCTTTTTGACGACGATTCTGTGGGATATGTTAATCAATGTTTGCTTGGAAAGGCTTGTCTGCCTACCTCTTATGAGCTGGGGTGGTAAAGGTCTTTTGACGCCGCGACTGGGGAGTAGCGTTTGTAGCCACTTTCTGTCTCTTCCTAGGTGTGGTGGGAACGAATTCATCCTCTTCCTTGGTGATATCCTTCTTCTCGTCATACTTCAATAGACGTTAGCACCGTGAATCCACCACGATCAGGAACTCACTCACATCCTCGTCGACTTGCTTGCGCTTTTTGGCTGCTTTCAACCCATCCTTGATCAAGTTAATGAGATCGAAAACCCTATCCTCACGGTACACATCCTCCCAGACAAACTCTTCCGTATAACGTCCTTGCAGCTGGTTCACTCCTCTCCGAACAACAATGCACTTGTTGAACTCCGCGAGTTCTTCTTTTCCCTTCGGAGGAACACCGTCTGGGTACTTGGCGTAGAATGCATCCTTGGACATCACCGTAGCTTTGCCATTGATCGACGTAAGAGGATTGACGTTGAAATCGGCAGTCAGGTATTGCTCGTTGGGCAAAGCGTCGGTTCGTCGCTTGTTCCGGGTTGACATGAATTCATCCGGGGAAGCAAACCACATGATGTTTGCCGATTTGATGACCTCGTCCTCAGCATCTGGGTCCTCCTGTTCCAGGAATTCCGTTATAATGCCAATCCAATCTTTGCCTGGTTCTGGGGATTTCAAAAGCACCACCTGGCCCAAGGCGCATTCGAACGAGCCCATCCGAGCTCCGACAATAGTCCGGCGGCGTTTGGCATTGGGGCGAGGGGTGCGTCTCCGGCTCGATTTGGGGGTATCCTCTGCAGTCGCCTGTTCGCTATGATTGTTGTTCTCATCGTTGTGGTCATAGATCCATTCCCAGGGGTGGTCTTCTTCGCCGAGTTCGTCGTCGGAGTCGTCCCGGACAAGACCTCCCTTGGTCATCCATAGCTGAGCACGCTTGCGGACACTAGACTTGCGGGACCGCGACTTGTCTGCCTCATCGGCAGAGTCAGAAGCCATTGTCCTGCAGAGACCAGTGAAGAAGGATGGAAGGGGCAGCGATGGCCGTACAGAAGTGATTGGAGTGATTGGAGTGATTGGAGTGATTGATGGGATGATGGATGATAATTGATTGATTAGTTTGTTGGACCGGCGACGGAAAAGACAGAAAAGGGAAAGGCGCGCCGGCTGCGCGTTGCCCAAAGTGGACAACGCGCAGCCGCTTCTGGCCAATGACAGCGGGTATTGCCTCCCGTATACTTCGAATGTGCCCGTATAGCAAACGCCATACAAACCATCACTCCAGTACTACTTTATCTACTAACTACTACTATGTACTCCTAGTAATGTCTGGTTTTACAACAAAAGCTTTCGAGTTTGTAATACAATATGGTTGCAGTCCATGACTAATGCCCATAATTTAGTACTTTTTGCTTCATTTTGTTTGCTACTTCTTGATTAAGAACTGAACCATATTTAAATAGCCCCAGCTTCTCTTTCCACTCTGATACACTTGACTCCTGCTGCTGTTAATCATTTCACACAGCTTCACAGGTCTCTTACGTGACTCTCGTTGTAGAGAATGTAGCGACATTACCTCAACTGCCTTCACTTGACCTGCTCCTTCCCAGTAAGAAGCTGCTCCAGGAATTCGATCCTCGTGGTTTGCTTGTAGATTTGTCTCTAATGCAAAACGGATTCTTGGGAGAATTCACCGGGTTCTTCCTGCCAGCCAGTAAGTGTTTCTCGGTAAACTTAACCATCCCACCGTTTTCACTCCGGTCTCTCTTTCGCTTTCACCGTCCTCGCACTGTCCCTTCACCATCAACTCTACCGTCACTACCACTCCCTCTCATAAATCCCGTCATTTCCCCGTTCTCTCGATCAACTTTTCCGAATCCTCACCAGCGCTGTGTGAACTGTAGTTTAGATCCTTCTGCGATCTTCAAGTCTGAGCGTTGATAAATAAGTTCACGCGGTTTACAATGGCTGCAAACAAGACACGCGTCGAGTAAGTCCCAGAATCTATTGTGACAGACACTGGCTAACTGCAAATAGCTTCGAGTCCTCAGGAGCCCAGGGTAGATACTGTCTTTGTCCTTGTTGGTTACTTATTCCTTAGTTGCGTATAACTGACCTCTGTGTGTTCTAGAATGGACGCTTCCGGGCTACGGAAAGCAAGGTTACTATCCATCCCAAGCAACAGCAAAGACCGGAACTGATCAATCTATACCAGACGCTCCCAAACCCACTCCGGATGAGTTTCCCAAGCAGCCCCCAGCTGCACCTGCCAATAAAGGCACTCTCAGCACGCCGGTGCGCCCTGCAGTTGTCCCACGACCAGCACGAGGCCGTGGAGGGTATCGTGGACGGATTGGACGCTCAAGCGGGGTATCTCCTAAGGCAAACCTTTTTGGAGACTCACCTGCGAAATCTAAGTGGAGAGGCAAGCTGGAGCCTACGGGTAAGATCAGATCCTGCGATGTGATTCAAAGGTCGCTAATAAAACTACAGGCCTCGTGAAATTACCCGCGCCTTTCGGTACCTTCAAAAATGAGTATGCAAATGCCTTTTACAATATTATTTCAAAATGTACTAAGGCTGTGACAGATTTTTTGGCATTGCAAGATTGACTGGCTCCATCAGGAAGCCACCGGGGGCGCATGGCCGCTATGAGGTCTTTGAAGAGATCAGCCGACGTACAGGTGCCTTCATAAAGCCGCCCTTCTATAACGACAATGTAAGCTCCTTTGCCTCCACCAAGGCGCACACTAACGGAGATAGACCATCTACCTATGGGGCGAGCCGTTTCAGGTTGCAGCTGCAAAAGATATCATTCTCACTATCGTTGCGAAGTGCAGCAACGCGGGCAAGAAGAAGGTGGGATGGGAGAAGATCATGGCACATTCAGTCAGCAAAGAAGCTCGTGTGGAGTTGAAGGAGAGATACAATGCCAGGCTCCAGATACTGCAAAAGCAACCCGATTCCTCTTCCGAGTTTTCGGACCTTGTGAGTAAAATAGGCTTACCCGTTTACATACCTCTTCGACCGCCTGACTGACACTCCCTTGTAGATGCTCTTCTTATGGCCCAAGGAAGGACCTTCTATTACGGACTCCCTGGGTCCGCAGCTCGAGGCCCTCGATCACATACGGGTCAAGTTCAATTGTCATGTCTTTGTTCCAAAAGATCTCCCCAATCATATCTGTGCTATGGGGCACAACGATGAAGCCAT